ATTTTTTGTGTGTTAATTTAGTCTCATTTACACAAAAAATCGTAATGTATGTAGGTAAGCCTTTCTACAAGTACGCAGAATGGGGACATATATTGTTCATTTTTCCCTCACGTATAGACTTACAAGATATTTTCTTCATCGGCCACCATAAATTGTTAATTTGCATAATTACACAAAGTACGTAATTAATTCTGTGTACTTGTCATAAACAATGTGCATAGTCATTCTTACCAACTAGACATTAGTTAAACTCTTATTTCTATTAACCTGGCGGGCATTTGTGCAAGTCACCAACAAACCACAGTTACAATTTGAACAATTTAATTATTGTCCTTCACGCATGCTGCAAACTGCGTGGTACCGTACTCGGGAGGTTGATTCAATATTTACAGCCTATTTCAATTACCATTCCCCCTAACGCTTCATTATTTCATTGAATGATTGATTTTTAAGCTAATTTGCAAGTTCCGATATAAATATTCAGGGAAGCGCAAATTGTTTTCGAATTCATTAATAAAATTATTGTAGGTATCTATCCAATCGAGAAGTTGAGAACCCTGGGGATTTGTTAGTCAATTAATTGAATTAATTCCTCGAATTTTTACCATTCATTTTTTTCACTTCGAAGTGTCTCAAACTATTAACTCAATTCCGGGCGATTTCATTAAAAACAGTCGAAACCCTTGGCAGATTTTAATTTAAGTTCTTTCATTAGCTTGTATATCCAATCCAACTCCTTAGAATTCATGAAGTTTAATGCTGAAAATTGTTACAGTTCAAGGTATTAGTGTAGCGTAGTTTATCATCTTTGAATGTGCAATTTGATGGTAATTCAATTACAAAATAAAACAGCCAAATTACGCAACGTATCAAGCTTATAACATGTACGTAATTCGTACACTTGATCAAATTCAAGTATTGCGGTTTGTAGTAAAACTGAACCGTACTATATTCCTTATTTTCTAATACCTAGGAAAAATTAATGAAAATGCCCTTCATAATTCACAGCGGATTCCATAAAGGACGCCCCATGTACATTTTTATTATGCCATGGTCGTTTTCCCTTTTCTCAAAAGATCTATTTCCCTATATATACGAACTTTTTCGTCTATAGGTACGTGTTATCACTTTTACAGTTTCCGGGTTAAGGTGTTAAAATGTGCTCTTTCCCAAAAAGCATTGTTATTGTGTCACATTAACAGTTTATGTAGGGTCTACTCGAATTTAAATTATAGACATGCGGAAAAGTTTTAGAGAAAAGGGATTATCCACAATGTAATGTCCTTTGCTGTCGCTTTGCCGTTATATCATTTGGGGAACTCGATTGTTACTGTTAATTTTCCCAAACAGAACAGAAGCTTTCAAAGTGCACACTATTATCAATTATGTATTTTAGCGCATTTTCCAGAAGGAAAATGAACGCTATTGTCCGCACATTGTCCGTGTATTCGTCTGTACCACTACTAGTCCTCCAGTTTAAGCTTTTTAGCGCATTTCCACAAAAATAAAAAAAAATGCGCTATTGTGGCCACTTTGTCCGTCCGTCCGGCTGTCCGTCCGTCCGCTCGTTTTGCGACGCTACTAGTTCTTTATCTTAAGAGCTATTGTTCTACTTTTTTCGCTATTTGGTTCGTTATGGTGTCGAGTCTTGTACCAAGAAAGGAATTTTTTCTGTACCGCTTACAAAAAAAGTTATTGTAAAAAAAACAAAAAACCGTTTTTTACATGTTCCATAATTTTACACTTTTGCCGTTATTAACGATCCTAGAGATCGTTTATAATTTTGCATTGCTATCTGTCGTCTGCCTGTTGGTCTGTCCGTCTGTTCCTTTGTCTGTCTGTCCATCTATCTGTCCGTGCGAACGATAACTTTGTTTAGAAATGTTCGATCACTTTTACATCTCCGTTAGTTATGAACTGAATTGCATGAAATTCAATATGGGCATAGCTTTAGCCATATAATACGCAATGCCAAAACTTGAATCGAATCGATTCAAAATTCACAGTGCCCTTTTCGCATCTCGACCATTTATAAACCGAATTGCAAAATTTTTTACTTATAAAAGCTTTTGAATGAAATTTGATACATAGGCACTTGAAATAAAGGAAAATCAACTGCCAATTTCAAAATTTGGTTTTGCGCATGCGCAGTGCCAACTTTTTTATTTATGGAAGAATTTAAACGAAATTGGATACATAGGCACTTGGGATAAAGGAAAATCAAACGCCAATTTCAAAATTTGGTTTTGCGCATGCGCAGTGCCAACTGTTTTATTTATGGAAGAATTTAAATGAAATTTGATACATAGGCACTTGGAATAAAGGAATGCACGCATGCGCAGTGCCAACTTTTTTATCTATGGAAGCATTTAAGTGAAATTTGATATTTAGGCGCTTGGAACAAAGGAAAATCTAACATTAGTTTCAAAATTTAGGTTTGCGCATGTGCAGTTCCAACTTTCTTATTTAAAAAAGCATTGAAATGAAATTCTTCTCATAAACTGACATTGAAGTAGCACGACAAAAATGGATTGCCCATGTGCAACGCTATCTTTCATATTTGTGGCCGGATTTTTACGATTTTAACTGAAGTTGCATCTTACAAATGGGAAATGAATGCAAGTGGAAATGCGCTTTATGTAAATCGTTTACGATTACTTTTTAACTTGTTTATTGTGGTTTCTTTCTTATACGGCGTAGTACAGCACAGAGACCAGAACGGCAAAAGTTTATTTGGATTGGTCACTTCCTTCCCGAGTCGTTATTCGTGCGGAGAAAATGTGCTTTCGTCGGTCGCGAGTGATCACATTTTTAACTTGCTTATTTTTGTCTCCCTTAAAAAGATCACACTTATTATTTACCATACGTAATCAAATATTCCAGAGAATCAACTACAACGGCATATAAACCGCAACGAGATTATAAGCAACAAACATACGCGAAAGCTCGAAATATATTAATGTAATGTATTTCATGACGTAATAAATAAATGTTAATTGGCTGAACTGTCTATGTTTGGTATGTCTTGGGGCGAATTTTGGTAGTTCGCACGCAATCGGTGAGCTTTTAACATTAAACGGCGTGATTAGTTAAATTAAATTTAATTAAAAGTATAAAGAAACTATATATTCACAATTAAATTAAGTATAAATCACTTCCAACTCAAACGGAAGCTGACAGAACGGGACGGACGGGGGTACTCAAGCACCACCAAGGGATGCAGACTTGCCCCTGGACAAGGTTTCGGAACTCCAGAGATTTAGCGGACAGCGGCGATCGACTTCTGGCGAAGGATCCGATAGAAGAATGACGGCACACTGACGCGTAAACGATTACCTTAACGGGAAGAAATGCAACAAAGTACAAATTGATTAGCGGTATAGCTACGGGAAATTTTCAGCTCGGCAAAAAGGTCTCTTATCAAACTGATACCGGCGTACACTTGCATGACTTTGCAACTTTAATACTCATTTTAAATTACCATAGGAAACTAAAACCTGCTAATACTGACTTAACGAAGCTGAAATTCTAAAATATTAATTCGCCCTCGTCTGCTAAATGACAAGAGCTTTCGGATGTAACAAAGATAATTGAAATATCTTAACAGTAACGATGGCGAATTACTTACAGCTTTTGTTTACGGCAACGGTGGCTGAAACACAACTTTAGAAAATAAATCAATTACTTTTACTTTCTTCAACTTCAACAAATAGGTAAGTGCTTCTATACAGTCTACATAATAGAAAAAAATTATAAAAGGATACTTAAACTGATTAATATTTTGGAGGAGATTCCTAAAAGATTCTTAAGAATTGTAGAAGACTACCAAAATATTTCAAAAGATGTTATTAATAAGCTAGTGAAATGGCCCTAAGAGGATTTCCGAGATTTGTAAATAGCTTCAAGTAAAATTCCTAGGAAGCCTTCTAAGATTTGCAAACATACAAGAAAGGTTTCCCGGAGGACTCCATCTAAAACAATTCTTGTGAATATTTCTTAAAACACTGCTTTTGAGTAAAAACTCTCAAAAATCATTAAAACAGTTTATAGGGTTTCTGTGATCTAAAGAATGTTTCTAAAAAGAATCCTGAGACTTATTTAAGGAAGTCTCTATGGTTCCTAGGAAATGTCTCAAGGTCAAGGACGACTGCCGAAAACCACAGGCACAGGCTTTCCATTGCAAAACTTCCAAAGTGAATTTCTCCCACTGTGAGGTTCGCGACTTTACATATAATGAGGTATATGTCGAATTTAAATGTCGATCAATTCCCTTCTAATTATATTAAAAATTCTAAGCGTAAAGACAAAAGTGCCGTTGTGAGGGTTTGTTTTTTGTTAGAATCTTTTACATTCGAATGTCCATTGCGAATTATTTATTATTAAATTGTGCTTGATGTTTCATTGTTACTTTTCGTTACTCATTTATTTTTAATCCAACTCGGAGGATCCTTAAATGAAAGACACAACACGTTAATTTAGACCAAGGACTCAAAAGTCGTTTCTCATGGTCAAAAACGGTTCCAGCCACATTATCATGAAATTTTAATTATATTTAATTACAAAATACAAAAATTGAACTTTAGGAAGTTTTACCCGATGATTCCTAGGACGACTTCTAGAAAGATTTTTAAAACTTTTCAGATCTTTAAAGAATTTCTAAAATTCGAAACAAGTTCTTTTCATTTATGATTTTTTAACATTTAACATTTATAGGAATTTATAGGAAACTACTAAAGATTACCTACTACGAAAACCGTTTACGAAAGGGTTTCTAAAGTTTTGGAGATTCATAGAATATTTCTGGAAGATTCCAAAGGTCTGTAGTAAAAAAAAAATGATCCTCCAAAATCCCAGTAACAGAGTTAGAAAGTGTTTTGCTTACTTTTTTATCAATACGTCACTAGTGCCAGCTGAGATGATAAGAGAATTATTATTAAAAACACGCGATAAAACTGACCAACACAAGTTCATTTCATTACCAAATCTTCGAGGTATTTGACTGATTTGCGGAAATTAGTTACTCATATGTAACGATTCGTGTTTTCCCAAACCATTTCAGCATTCTCGCGAGTAACTTGGCGCAAATTATCCACGTTTACGCAATTTTCAATAATGCAATGTGTAAAAAGAGAAAGTTTTGTATAATCATGTTGTTTTAACCCATATAGCTACCAGCTTATTTCAATTCATTAAAAATCTTTGTGTTTTCCCAAAGTCAAATTCGGGTAACTCGCCTTTCAACAACAATTTAGGGCGATGGCAGCGTGAAAGTCAAGTGCACTTGAAAACGAGATTTTAAATTTCAAAGAAGGCCTTTCCGCTTATGCAAATCTTGGTTAATCATCCATCATTGGGAATATACAAGAGTTGTAAGTAAAAGTTCACGGCTAACATTACGCGATAGTGGGGAAGCGCGCGAGTGTTAAAACATTACCAATCTTGAGCTCATTCAAGTTTAGTCTCAAGCGACGAACGATGTGGAAATTACTTATTGTGACAAGTGTCATTGCAGTATCCTACGCCGCAAAGTTACAAGAAGTTTTTAGATGGCGAGACGTCGACTTTGCCTGGCCAAGTGAACAAGCCAAACAAGAAGCTCTTCAAAATCAGCGTTATATACCCGCTAATAACCTACCTCTTGGACTTGCACGATGGAAGAACAAACTTTTCATCACAATCCCACGGTATGAGCTTCCAATCGCTTAAGATAACTGTAATAACATTTCAGGTGGAAAGCGGGTGTTGCTTCATCTTTGAATTACATTCCCTTAAATACCAGCAATAGCAGCCCTGCGCTTATTCCATACCCCAGTTTAAAAGCAAACACTTTGCCGACCAATGGAGAAAAACTGGGAGATGATCGCATTGTATCCACGTTCAGAGTGGAGGTAGACGCCTGCGACCGTCTCTGGGTAATGGACACAGGATTAGCTGACATACTAGGGTCAGGCGATCAGCATTCCAAGCCAGCGTTAGTTGTATTCGATCTGAATACGGACAGGCTGCTTAGACGGTACGAGTTTAAACCGGAAGATCTGAAAGATTCATCCTTTTTTGCTAATGTGGTAAGACAAAACGTAAATTTAATGGACAAGCTCAATTCACCAACCCTCTCAGATCGTAGACGTCCAACCGGGTAGGTGCGACGAAGCATTCGCATATGTTCCCGATCTGGGTGGCTACGGAATTGTGGTTTACTCCTGGAAGAACAACGAGTCTTGGAGGATTCACCACAACTATTTCCACTTTGATCCGTTGAACGGCGACTTGACAGTGGGTGGAGTTAACTTCCAATGGACCGATGGAATTTTCGGCTTGGCGCTGGGTAGGATGAGGTCTAACGGGTAAGTCCTTGCCAGTTGAATCCAACAATAAATAACATCTGACACTTAGATATCGCACCTTATTCTTCCATCCGTTAGTCAGTACCCACGAATTTTCCGTTTCAACAGAAGTGTTACGCAATCAAACCCTTGCAGTCGACCCTAATTCGTACAATCTCTACAAGGTAGGTACATCACGCAAAATTACCGAATTAACCGTCGATTAAAGATTGAAGGTAACCGAGGTGCTGCAACGCAAGCATCGTCAAGTAATTTAGATTTAAAAACGGAAGTATTATTCTTAACGCAATTACAAAAGGATGGAGTTGCATGTTGGAATACTAATAAACCACTTAACCCAGAAAATTTTGGAAACGTGGCCCAGGATAAGGTCGGATTGGTGTTTCCCAACGATTTAAAGGTAACAATTCGATTTTTTTGTTCTTTGTATAAAAAATTTACAAATTTCAGATTGACGCTGAAAGAAACTTATGGGTCTTATCTGATCGTATGCCAGTTTTCCTTTTTCACTCGTTAAATAGAAACGAATATAATTACAGAATCTTTAGAATTAAGGTTGATGATGCCATTGTAAATACTCCGTGTGCACTAAATTGATGCTGTTGTTTTCAAGTAGGTATTGTACAAATAAAACAAAATTGTTATTTTTGTTTACATCAAAGCCATTTTTAGTTGTGGGTTACTAATTAATGCTGAAAGTGTGCAAATATACGGACAATTGGTAGGTACAAAAGTTATTGGCGTGCCAGTGTTATAATTAGTTCCATCAACAAAGATTCGGACATATAAATCATTTACAATGAATGTAAATTACTTACCCCAAAAGTTCAACCGTGCCGCCCATTTAAAAGCAAAGGATCTCGTTCTTTCATAGTCCATTTTGTCAAAGATTCAATGCCTGATTTAAAAAAATAATTACATAAAGAAGATTCGCTAGAGAAAATATTACAATTAATTTATTTATTTGGCGATTTTCGGTAAAACACTATTTAACCATTGGAATATCTGCAAATGCACTAATACAAAAAAAATCTCTTCCAGCAGTATTTATACTTCTTTCGCCCTTCTCGATTAGCTTTCTTTTCATCTTTCTTCATCGTACAGTTCTCTCGCCTTCATCCCTCCCTAAATATTAATTCTTTGTGCACGACCTTACCGGTTTAATGTTGGTTTTCATATAACATTAAAAATTACAATCGATTAAAGAGTAATTAATGATCTAAAACTTTACAAAGACTCCCTCTCTTCTTCCCTGGTAAGAGAGCTTTCGGCGTCTGTAAAAATAATTTAAATATTCCTACGGGAACGGTTGCAAAACGGATAATTAAATACGGTCTCTTATTTTCCTTAACGGGCGGCTCTTAAAATTAACCCACTACCTTACATTTCCAACTCCTACGCAAAAATAAATATATTCGGAGCGACAATCTTCGTAACGAAGCGCTCAACTTGAAACGCTTCTAGATACCGGATGTTCATCTACAGAGTGATCACTAAAACTGGTAATTTCCAGGTGGCAAACAGGTACTCCGTTACAAACTTTCAAACGGTCAAGGGGTGAATTTTTCTGATAATATAAACACGCTGCTACTGAACCCTCTAATCATAATCAATCCAAAAACATATAAATATTTGGATGCGTAGGAAAATCCACTTCATAAGTAGGGGAGTATTTTCATTTAAAAAATTTAAATACGTAATTTGACAACGGTTGAGGGACAATTTTGTCTGTTAATTTATACAGGGCTGCTACTAGGCGCCTTATTCATAATCAAATAGAGACATAAAAATATTTGATGCGTCGAAAAATAGCCAGCCCTTACAGTGAATGCCTAGTAAGTAAGGGAAACTTTTATTGCAAAACAAATAACTTGAAAACGAAAAAGGGATGAATTTTTCTGTTAATGTATATAGGGCTGATGCTATGGAACCCTGTGATCATAAATCAATCAGAGAAATAAAAATATTCGATGTAACGCAAAATAGACCCTTCTTGCAGTGAATAAATACCGACTAAAAGAGAATTTTCGTTTAAAAAAAAGTCAAAGCTTTATTCTATTCCTCATTTCCGTTTCCTTCCCTCTTCCTCTTTCTTCTCTCCTTCACTCGTTTCTTCCTCTCTTGCTTACTCACGCCAAACATTGCCAACTCCTCCCCCCGTCTTTTATTATTTTCTGTCTTAACTAATACAATTTTTCTCTCCATGCCACATCTTCGCTCTGTATGTGTATCCTTCTTTTCTCTAAAGATAACTGGCAGTTCCATCTTCATTCCTTTTCCTGCGTTCTTTGTGATCCTTTCCACTACTCATTTTTCCGTTTCTTCCTGGTTATAATCCAAGTTCTATACTCATCTTCTCTTTCTGCTTCTCTATCGCTATTTTTATCTCTTCTGTTCATCAATGAATGTTTAAAAGCGAACGTTGTTACACCGTTTAGAATTTGCTTTTGTCGGCGGCATGTTCCAACACTTTTCCCGCATAGACTTTCTAATTGATTTTCATTTTCTGAAAGAGGGTTACCACATCGACCCTACATGACCGAATGGTATTTATTGAACATTTCAATTAACTCGATACTGGAATTAGGAAAAGCGAACTGTATATTTCTTTCAACACTTCAAAAAATATTCGGTCGGTTTTCGACAAATTGAAAGCATATGCGATTTTTGAGAAGCGCTTTGCAGAACAAAGCAAAACAATTTAGAGTTTAAAAACTTTATAAACCGTCGCTGAATGGTTGTAACTCTCCCTGCAAGTAAAAAGGTTTCGCCCAAAGATGCATTTTCCGTGCATTGCCAAGTACACTCCAAAAGATCACAGAACGGACTGACTAAAAATATCCATAAATAAGAAAGTTAGCGTTGCGCATCGAATGTTTACAATATGCGATATGTTTGCCTTTACTGGAAACATTTGTGGTTAACATTTCAACAAAATATATTAATAAATAAGAAAGTTCATAATGTACGGCCTGCGCACGCGTCCGCATTAATCGTCAAGAGTTTTCTTCGCTCACGTGCTAAAGATATAAGCTACAGATTTTAAAAAGAACGAATTAAATATATTCAAAGCTGTATAGGAGTAAGGCCTCGGACAGGCGTATAGCGCACCCAACTTCGTTGGAAAATACGCTAAATAAGATGATTGTGAATTTGGAAGGTCAGATACTTACAAATTATCTATACCATCTCGTATAATGTCGTGCAGAGACCATTATAGCATCTATCGAGGGGCCACTAAATAAAAATCAATTGTATAATGATTGCCAACGCTAATACTTGAACTAATTGAAAGATTCGCCTATTTATTTGTATACAATTACATTCATAGGCTAAAGTACTGCACTACGCTATTACGCAATATATTTAAACCGTTAATGGTACACCCTGTATACCACTCACATGTTGACCACAGACTACAACTTTTATTGGTTAGGCAACACACATTACCTCTTGTAATTGCGATGACATTTGAGGTTAACCAAAATAAATAAATAAATTAATTAATTTTTTTTACTTAAAAATGTACGTTACGTTTAAGACACATTCAAATTGAAGATGGAAGTAAATCCTCTCAGTATAATTTTGGTGAAAGCTGGCAGTAAGGGCGATCGGTTACTCTTCCGTTATCCGTACCACGAACAGGAGAGTAATGAACCGGCTAATACCAAAAGGAAAAACCCTTACGCGCTTGTCATCACTGAAGACTTACTGCAATCACCTCCGCCTCCGACATCAAACATTAACAAAGGCAGTTTAACTGGCATTTCGGACGAAGTCCTATCGTCACTATTTGCCGTGAAACAGGAACTGTGCAATCAGAAATTCGAACTTAAAATAAACGACGTTAGATTTGTAGGGCATCCGACTTCGTTGCGAAATAAATCACAAGACGATGCTGGTGTCTTACTGATTCATATTGTGTTCGCTTTGCAAGCGTTAGCTAGTCATTCCATAGGTAAAATCGGCGAGGCGACTATAAAACTAATAGTTAAATTGCAGTTAAGTGTTATCACGATTTAAGTAAACGTTTGGGAATTGTGTTGAGACATGAAGAGCACAGGTGCGGGTATATTGCCGAGGAAACGTTAAGTATGGTGTCTGTCCATGATGATTCTTGTACGAGCAGTTTCCAGTTTGAGAATCCATTCAAAAATATACTCGAAAATTGTGCATTGGCAAAAAACCTCAAGAAGGTGTATGACGATTTATGTAGTACAGGTGAGTAGTACTGGAGCTCGTATAGACAAAAGTAGGTATATGTCATAATCAGCAGACCAGCAGATACGGGGGTAAATGCCTATTTTTTTAAATTGTGACACGTGTTTACACTCTTCCTGACTATGACATATAACTACTTTTGTCCGCTGTGAAAACGAGGGTACTTCAATGGCTGTGTAGGATTAGTAAGCATAAGAATTAATAAATGGATTCCACTCACCTTTTGTTTACCACAAAAAATGCACCAGTGGCACTTGAGGGGGAAAATTGTTGAACCTGAAGACATTGACAGGTAGGGGTGTGAGTACTCGACTTATACTCTAGGCTGTATTCCAGGTGTTTGAAGGCATTGAGGCCCTTTCACAGTTTGCTACTCCTATACCCAGTTCAACAGCTGTACGATTTTACATCACTGGATGGCTCACCTTCGTTGATAAGGATGTTTTCGCAATATTCTCCACTGAAAAGTTTGCAAACTTTAGCCATAGATTCCGATATAACATTATCTCATGTAAGTCATATATATTGATGCAATGGTTATGAAAAGAGAGAGTTTAAGGTATTTGAGCTAACTGCACATCTTGTTTATTGGGCAAAAGCGACTGTGATATATCCCATATGCTCCACAAACAAATACACCATCACCCAAGATGCGCAACTGCATCTAAATTCATCACTATTAGATAAATTTTCAGATGCTTTCCCAGGGATGGATTTAATCCAAGAAATTAGTGATTTCTCATTACCAACATCTTTAGGCCAAAAGTGTACACCTTTGTACAACTCCTCTGAACAATCGCAGCTAATCCAAAGAATAATTTGGATGCTTCAGCACCATCTGTTGTTGCAGTTGCACATGTACATTCAGTACTTGCCGACCGACCAGGGGCACACACCATATAATCTGTTAGTATTAAGCCGAAAATAGATCATTCCTAACTGTAGTGACTTCAGAGACCAAACTAGAAGCACACCTCTCACTCCCATAGTTCAAAGTAACAGCACTTTGAGCTCACGAACGTTTAGCATAACTCCATCACGACAATCCAGGACACATTCTGAAAGTGACGCGTCCGTTATCTCTGATACACCAGAACCTCGGCCCGATTCCGAATTAGGCACTGCTACAATGAAGTAAGCTTCTCGATTACAATTTTGTCGTTATCGATGTATAGTTCCAGCTTGGCAAATGTAAGCTTTTCATCAGCCGATGAAGAAAAGCAAGAGTACCAGGAGCTACTACTCGATTTTTCGGACGACGAACGCAATGCAATATTCAAGGTACATTGCTGCAAACTTCTACATTTTAATGCGTAATTTGTAGATTCCCGCCGCGAGTAATCCGGAAGATTTGAATTTGTTCGCGAGACTTTGCCGAAATGGATATTTTCGCGGGGATCATCACGTGGAGGAAATTATGTATTTGGAAAATTTGAGGAGGAGTCAGTTGTTACAGTTATTGGATAAATTTAGAGATGTGTTAATAACATACGAAACTGAAGATCCTGCAATTGCCATGTTTTCTTAATTGTACCTTCTAAATTTATTAAAATTCATACTATTTACAATTTTTATTCTCAGTAAGTTTATTTATTTATTATCCCTCTCTTGTTCTAAGCCCTCAACATCAGGATTGCGCCCAATTACAGAGTGCCCCTGCAGAAGGTCTTAAGTTGTTCTATACTACTCCGGTATTTACCTTACGAATTAGGAAAACTGCAAGAAAACCTAATTTGGAGTAGCCGGCAGAATGCTCGAAATTATTATTATATATTCAATGACTGAGCGTAGTATGAATAGACCAAATCAATCTTAAGTCCGAGTAATTGTGGATCAGTTCCTGGTAATGCTTGTGCAAATAATTGTATTCGTCCTGTACATAGTAAGACATCTGAACTACTACCACAATGTATTGCAACTACTGGTATTAAGGTTATGTAAATGAAAAAAAAAATGGTTATCAATAAATATTTGTGAACTTTGAGACATGGATGTTAAGGTAAATAGTTTACTATAAAATGCCTACTATTTATAATCTATTTAAGTAAGCCATAATGAATTTCTCTACGACAAATATACTATACAACAAAAAGTGGAGGAAAGTAGTTTATGCCGTATGTCTTATAACATTAATTTTATTAACAATTTTGTATTTCGTACCATTCCAAAGACGCACACTTTGGAAACTTGGCGAGTACATGTCGTCCAAGAAACATTTTGAACTTGCCGAAAAGATAGTACATTTAGATCTGAAAGGTGCCCCACCAAAGGTGGCCTATTACAAACTGCTCTTTCCATTCTTATCCCAGCTGGGAGTAACAGGGTTGTTAATCGAATATGAGGATATGTTCCCATATTCAGGGATAAGATCGAAAAAAATTCCTGCTCGCAATGCGTACAGTATGGAAAATATACTTACTATAAGAAGGTTGGCGAAACAGAGTAATCTAAACGTGATTCCCTTGGTACAAGTCTTTGGACATATGGAATTTGTATTGAAACTGGACGATTTCGCAATGTTTCGTGAGGTACGAAAATATCCACAAATGATTTGTCCAACTCACGAAGTGAGCCCGGAGATTATAGTGGAGATGGTGGAGGAAATTATGAAGGCCCATCCAGATGTTGATAGATTGCATATCGGTGCGGATGAAGTGAGGTATCTCGGAGAGTGTGACCGGTGCAAGGATTACATACGTTCGCATGGTATCAACACAAATGAGTTATTCCTGCTTTATATACATACAATAATTACTAAAATTCGCGAAAGGTATCCAGCACTAAGAATTCTCATGTGGGACGACCATTTCCGCCCCATGACGATTGAGGAGTTGCAAAAGAGTCATATTGGAGGCATGGTAGAGCCTGTTGTTTGGAATTATCATAAAGATGTAGATCAACGGTTGGATGTGTGGGATAAGTACGCGGAGATATTTCCAAAAGTTTGGGTGGCAAGTGCATTTAAAGGTGCCACTGGCCCTAACCAGATAATACCGGATATTGATCATCACATGGAAAATCACAAATCATGGTTGAAAATACTGAGTTCACACCAGGATAGTGTAGGGTTTCAAGGTATCATTCTAACTGGCTGGCAGCGATATGACCACTTCTCCGTTTTATGCGAACTGTTGCCTGTAGGCATCCCATCTTTGGTGGCGTGTTTGCAGTTATTAAATCCGAAGGATATGATTAACTCTTTAAACTGCGATAGTAAATTGGAGAACTGCCGTTTTCCTGGAAGTGATGTATATAATGCAGTAATAAAGTATCAGGAATTAAAACTTGATTTGGAGACATTCTTGGCAAGTCATCGCGCAGTAGGATGGATGGATAATTATAATGTAAAAATTGAGTATTCAAACACCTATTATATAGAACAAACCTCGGAGACGATAGATGCCTTATATGACTCTTTGTTAAGGCTGAAACCCATGGTTTACGAATCAATGTCGGCTGTTTATGATAATTTTACAATAAACGAGTGGTGCAGTGTTCTCATTGAACCTCTCAGCCTGAAGATAAAGGCAATAATGAAAGCAAAAACAAAGTTACTAAATGTAGACCACTGGTCGAAAAGACCATGGATTAAAGAAGACTTATAATCGACTGACATGACAAATTTAGGATAGGAATTTTGTACGATTGCATTATAGGCAGCAATATATTTGGCTACGTATTACAATTCTTGTCAGTTATTTGGCGACTGTTGACTATGCTTACTTAATATGCTTGATATGTATGCCAAATGTATGAAATATAAGTATCAATAAATCAGGAGTTTAAAGCATATTTTCAATTAACAAAGCAGCAATTGGTACTTCAAGGTGAGGTGGTTACAGTTTGGTTTTGGTAGCATTGTGTGTACTAGAGCTCAGGCTACTACAGTTTGTGAAGTGTTTTATGTGGTTTAATCAGTGGTGAGTTAAGTGATTACAGATTGCAGAAGTCATTTGAATTCTGAGGTCCCAATTTTGTATTTAATTTAAAAGTTACTTTGGAAACTAGTATTTTTTGTTTTTTTTTACAATAATTCATTTGCCAAATTAGTCCAAACATGTCTTGGTTAGTGTGTAATAAATAAACTGAGAGATAAATTTTCATAAGAACAAAATTTGGTATGGGTAACTCACACTTGCATGGACCCAGCGGTGTGAATTGTTAGTATTTTAAAAACTAGCCCAAGCAGTTTTCTTTTTGAAACATTGATTTGGACCCACTTCAGTAAAGTAGGTAGGTAAATTTACTACGCATTTTAATTGGCTTTCGCCCATTGGAAAAATTTAGGCAGCATGGGGAAATAACTTCTTAACGAGATCCTTAATTAGGTGTACATAAAAAATCAAATTCGGTAGAACTTGGGGCTGTGTAAAAATTTCCAAAATTTGTTTACCCTAAAATTCACATTGCATCTCTTGGTGTTAAAAAATTCCCCTACTGAAAATCGTATGTGATTCTTCATATCTTGTTTTATTATAACGCGTCTCTAGGGGTCCATTGAATATTACAGTGAAGTATGGAGTAGGTTTTGCGCTTAGAACTACGATTTTTTCATTGCAATGTCGAGTACTGCAAGTGAATTTTTTTTAATCTATAATTTCGTCAAGATCGGAATTTTATTTCGCCCCCGCTTAGAGGTGCACTATCAAGGCGTTTAAAATATATTTGAGTATACACGATCAGAACGGGCACACTAAAAACCTACATATAGCAGCGACTTCCTTCCTTACATCTGTGATCTGTTATGGGTCCTGAGGTAAACATTAAGACGAAACGCAAATTTTGGGTCAACTTGAATAAGTTGGCGTGAAGATGACTTTCGTTTGTCAGCAAATGCAGCTGTAGCAAAACGCGCACGTACTTTTCGCTTTCTCCTGGGCTTACGGCTATTGGAAAACAAAACGCACATGTGGGTTTTGATTTCCACAACATAAAATATTGAGCGCGAGATTGAGCGTCTCTTGACTAATTTTAAAATGTCGTTTCGCTTGTAAGTGCTGATATTACGCAATGTGGATATCGCAAGAGAGTTAAGAAAATAGGATATGTAACACACTGAGTAAGCTTGTAAAACATTTCTTTGAAGGAGCAGGAATTTAAAATCCCTATCAATATTCCGCGACTTTGAGGACATATTTTAATTATTGTTCACTTTCGCTTTATTTTGCTATTACCTATTTCAAAAATTTAAAACATTTTCAAAAATCCAAGATTTTATAACAGAAGCCTTGGCGATGTTGGTTCAAAACTACCCTAAAACTAAGAATATGTACTCTGTAGTTAGTCGTACGAGAGAACCTTATGACGTCATAAAAATAAAAATATCGTGCTTTTAAGATATTAATGTCAAAAATGTTGACACTATTTTTTTCTCATTTTTAAAAAATTGCGTATTCAAAAATTATTGTATTTGAATACAATTTTCAAGAGAATTCACAAAACATAAGAAATCAAAAAAAGTAAGTTGATATGATTCTTTTACGCATACCTAAATGTCACATACCTACTTATCTGCTAATACCAATATATGATTCATTAGAAGTGAGGACAATTTGAATTTCCCGCAAATCAAAAAAATTCTGAAGTTGGTACGAACTGATGATCATTTATTTAATTGCAGTGGTGTATCATCATGCTTTCAGTAAATCGTTTACTTATTTATAATCTTCAAATACTGCTTCTGTTTTACCACAAATTATAAACTAACACCAGACACAGTCACGTTTCTTACATATTTTAGTGCATCAACTCCAAAAATTGTTCAAAATGGAAAAAGTAATAAACCACAAATGGCACACAACAATTAATGGCGACACTGGTTTCTTAAATGACAGTAATGACAGAACAAAATTACTAACGAAATTCAAACCGTCAATCTAACAATGCAAAAAATACTAAAACCTTACGCGCGAAATTCAAGCGATCATCACTTCTAATGAATCACCCGGTATTTTAAAAATTAGACTAAAATTCGCACTCAACACATATACTGCTTTTCAAAAAATTAGAAAATCTATCGGGAAAACCTGGAATTGTGAGCGGCAGAAAGGTAGCTCACAAACGTAACGTGCCGACAAATGCATATATCTTCTACCATTGCAGTCGATCGACCTTCTCGATTCCTCAACACAACAAAAATAGTTATAACAATTTTAAGTAATTGTGATAGTTTTGTTTTAAATATATAGAGATATAAAACAAAAAGGTTTTCTTGATTGGAGTTACACAAGGAAAGGAGCGACGTGGATCAGTACTCTATGTATTGCTGTGTGCAATGGTATGCGGTCACTACACCACCAATCAGTCATCTGTGAGAAGAAAAATCCTAATATTGACTGAACATTTTTCAATTTGAGAGACTCTGTGCCCCCCATCAACTTCCAAAAGTTCCAAAAAATTTATACTTGGGCACGAATAGAAAAGTCTGGCATGAGACTCTATCTGGGTCTCACAAGGGATTCGAATGAACACGCAATTAAATGATTGACAACGACAAAAAGTTATTCCGAAACACGTGAAACCATTAAAACAAACTCCCTGCAAGAAGGAAAAACTCACAAAGCTCGTTTGGACATAATACCTCGACACAGGCGGTCGATAATTAAAAAAAACTTAACTTAGTTTTTTTTAGAACCCAAATAATCTGGTCGTGAGAGGTTTGAGATATTCAGACTTAAACTGAAAAAAAACACCGCTGACAGCTTCAAGAAACTTCACCTTTGGTTATTAAACTGAAAAATCAATGACTCAAACTGACTTGATAATGACCTAATGATAGTAATGATTGTATAAACCAACTATATTACACTCGAACTAACTTTTTCTGAATAAGGAACAAACAGTTTTAAAAACTTTCCACAAACATTTACTACTTCAGTTGACGATAACTTAAATATTTTATTACGACGCACTGCGTGTTCAACAAAACAACTTCGAAACGCCTTATCGCAAACGACCAGATGTTCCTAAATTTTAACATGCAATTTCACGTTATACGATTAAATACGCGAATCTAAATAAGCAATTTTTGCACAAAAAGGTGATTGGTTTGGTGATTATTTAAATAATGTGATACTTTCTTGCTTCCAGTTGAAATATTTTTGCGACGAGTGTTAATTTTTCACTACTTTTCCTCATTTTCATTACTATTCCTTCACTTTCGTGTGCTGCCGTTTTGTTGTTTCTGATTTACTTCCGATTTAATCCTGACTAACTCATGTGTCACATTTTTTGTGGTTTGATGTGCTTTGTATTTTCTTATCTTAGCTACCTCTCTTTGTTATTAATTTACTTTGCAACTGCAATTCTTACTCCATTATAGTTTCCATATAAACGATAAGCCAAATTTTCCCAAAGCGAAAATCCTTAAACTATGAACCTAAAATCTCATACGTATACGTTGTTGACTAATCTCCTCATGAATATCCCCTTGAACTTTTGTTTATGTTTTACGTTTGATGGTCGGAATGAACTTATTTAGTATGCTTCCTATGTATTTACAGAAAATAGGTAGATATACACGTTATAACTGACACAAATAATGTTATTCAAATAAATAAAAGATGCGTCCTTGTCTGCATACATGCTAAAATTCAAGTTTAATGTCATAATTTTACCTTAAACTTAAATCTCTGGGTTCTGTTTAAGAAATATGCCTACTGGATTCTGAGACGTATATACTTCATATTTCGTTTTTAGTGCATTAAAATAATTATTTCAGTCAATGCACCAAATGGACACATCCCAATATGCGCTGAACACACTCAGACAAGACATAGTCGAACACCATTTACAACTGAAAGCCACAATACAGGTAATCATCATGTGAAATAAAAGTTTTACATAAATCTGTAAATAGGACATCAACATGTGCACGGGACCTCTTCTGGAATTACAGAATTTGAACAGCTTGGGACGCTCGAAAATTTCCGCGATCCGCAAATACATCGACAAGTTTGGTGATATGGCGAAAGAAAGCAAAGAGAAGGAGTTATTGAAGGAGGTGGTTCTGCAAAGGGAACAGTTGGCGAGGTAATATTTCTATATGTTAGTAATACATAAGGGAAGTACTTGTAGCTCGATGGACGCGTTTAAAAAGGCGAACATTAAAGCAATGTTGGCACTGGAGAGAGGCGCTAAGGAAGAACTACTCCTGCCGAAGGATCCCGAAACGCGTTTGAAGCACAGACAGAAACGCGACAAGCAGAATTTAGTTAAGGCGAACTCAAGCATAACCGATCAACTGCTTACTATCAGTAGGCAATTGGCCGAAACTACGCAAAGAAGCGCGGATACACTAGACACCCTTGTGTCCTCATCAGATAGCGTTGTGGGAACTCAGGAAGAACTCAAGGTCACATCGAGTGTTATCGGACAGTCGGGAAAGTTGCTAGCGAAATATGGCAGACGAGAATTCACCGATAAAATACTCATGTTTTTCGCTTTTACCTTCTTCGTTGCGTGCGTTATTTACATTGTCCACAAGCGGTTATTTTGATACATCGCCCATTTCCTTATGAGTCAGCCATTCCATGTATTTAAGAAATCCCAGTAAATAAATAATAAACGCACGTCCTATTTTTATTTATACCAGAAGGCCACGGTTTTTTAAGAGATATGTAAGAGTTATCTAAGTTCAAGACTAATTCTCATTCGAGGAATTAGATCATTAAATTGTTTTAGGATGTGCGATGACGCGCGTAATCCTGTTCCTTTGTAAATAATTTTCTTGTGTGCGTACGTGTGTGAGAGGAATACTTATTAAACGTGCCTGATGAACAATAAGAAAAGTGCCAAGAAAATTTCAAGGACAGAAGGGAATAACGACCTTGCTTTTTGTATATAAATAAAAGCGGGCGCGAAATTGGCTCAGTATTGTAGAAACACCACCACCATGGGGAAGGCAGTTGTGTTATTTTTCTGTGCATTGCTCATTATATGTGTAGTCCATAATTCTAGCTGCACATCTACATTTTTGGCAAAGTTGTTTGGCGGTTACAATTACGGTGGCTATGGTAGTTACGGTTACACTGGTGGACGAAGAACCGGATATGGTCGCCGTTTTGAAGAAGGAAAAACTAGATGGAGAGAAATTTGCAACATCCATAACATTGATCGGTTTGCATTTCCTGGAAAGATTCCCACTCCTGTCTGTGCATAGTGTTTTTAGTACTACTACGTGCTTATGTTGTACCCAATCACTCGAAACGTCTGATACTTTTTAAGAAAAGTAAATTGCGTAACTAGAGACAATGGGTAACTTTTTCAATAGAAAGTAACATTTTACGCCTACTTTTCTAGTAATTTTTGTAAAATATGACTTTCAAATGCATGTTCCACATTAGCCTTAATTTGTTTAAGTATATATCGTATAGTTCTAATTTATTTATGATACCAGATATTAAATTGTTTCACAGTTAGTGCCTATAATATAATAAGCTCTATTTAACATTGCCCTGCAGCTCCTTTGTGGTAATTATATAATAGGTGTTTTATAGTGCCTATATTTTCTTACATTCAGAAGCAATGTATCATGAGCAAATGTGCAAAGATTTAGGGGATTGACATATCAATTCATTTTTTATATTAATTAGCAAACTCAGATTCAAACAACAGGACGTCTCTGATTTGTCACCTTCGGTGCATTTTCAAGGTCATCAATTCGGTGTTTGTCGACAGAACCGGGTCTGTATCACTAACAGGTCGGTTAAACGAACATGATTCTGTTAAACGAGGCCCATTTTTACTGAAAAGAGCTGTTTCTATAGAGCAGATCTGAATTTAATGAACAGACCTGTTACTGTTTCTAATATACAGGGTATCCATTTTACGAGTGCCACTGTGGGGATCTTTCTTATCTTGAATTGCTTAATTGTGGGCAAAGTTACGAACTTTCGTGCTGAATAATAATAATCTGAAAATATAGTTTTGAAAATATCTCAAAAAACAACAAAGTTTCTTTTTAGATTATTATTCACCACGAAAATTTGCCCCCATTTAATCAACTTCCTATTGCTCAATAGATAAACAAGTGGCAATCGAAACACCGTATGTAGACTAGTTTCTGCTTAACCAACCTGCCAACCTATGTAATGAAATTGACTTTTGACATATCGGTGCTTTTTTGAACCGAATCAAATTTCTTTTCCCTTTTTAGAAAATTGTAACGTCAGCCAACCTTAACTATATTCTCAAAACCACTAAGCAAAAAAATAACAAAAAAAAAATAAAATTTTTTTTAATTGACAGGTAAACCACATAAATAAACAAAAAAATAAAATAATTTAAAAAAATTAAAAAAAAAAACTTGTCATTGTCTTTTAATGATTTTTATTAAAAATGATTGGAACTTTCGGTCTGTCTGTTCGAAAACTTGGGTAGTTCTTACTTTCTGCGTCTCTTATTTTCCACATTAGTATCCCAACTGAATTCGCAGTTCAGAGCTGACCAACATAGCCAAAGCTTGGTTTTTGTTGGGTACGTTTCAAGTTTTAAACTCTGTCTTCTCAACCACCATGACTCAAATTAAGAGCGATACATGAGTAGCGAGACTAGTTGCAAGTAAAAAATGTTCATTGATGTGAGTGAACAATAAAACAGGTTTTATTTAGCAAAGTATGAATAGAAAGCTCTTAGAAAGGCTTTTCTCAATTTTGAAGTTCCACGAGATACAATGAAATCTAACAAAAAAAGTTCCATTATCATGAAAAGGAAGCCCTTTCCTACATTGTGTTGTTGTTCGTCGTATTTTACAATTTAATTGACTTCACTTAATAGCGTTTTCGATTGGCAAAACTCGTACTGCACCAGTGTTGCACGAGAAACTGAAAAAATCCATATGAAAATTGCTCTCAATGGAACATAAATATTCGTAAATATTTGTTGTCATTTGTCCATAACCTCATTTTAGATTTAGGTAATCGACAAATCTCTATTCTAAAAAATGACAAACGATTTCAGTATTATTTATGTTATGATAAACAATGAGGAATATAAATTTGAAATTCCTGTAAAGGACCAATTTTTGGCGTTTAGTTTAATGAGTAAGTGCAACTTTTTGTAAGATAGAAGTTATGGCTAGTTCATCATCTTCGTTATCGCTAGATGACGACAAAAAACTCTCCCAACGCAAGAAACACATTCAAATTGTCGCACGTTTGTTTTGAAAGCTCCACGAGCTCTCGGACTTCGTGCGTCGAAATTTGCACTGAGTGCGAAATTGTTGCATCACATTTGCCAATGGAACACAGAAAATTGCCCTAAAATTACCAATAGAACGTAAAAATTGCACTTGTGCAGCACGAGTTTTGCCAATCGAAAACGCTATAAAATTCAAATTTGATGTCTAAAAATTGTTATCCTTGGTAACTGTTAGATCCCTTTCGTTTTTGATCCATCTCTATTTTCTCTATTAGGCAATTTACAAAAATAAAATGTGAACGTTTAAAATTTCCAAACAAATGCCTGGCAATGCTGCCCTATCCTAGTAAAGTTGTTCTACAACAGTTTTGAGTATCATTGATTGAGGGTTCTCTTATGTCAAGATTTAAACATTATAATCATATTTATTGAAGTAAAAAAAGGTTGGTACATGGCAGTAAATAAACAAATTAATAGCAATAATAGTAGGTATACATCTGTATCATAAATATCCTACGTATTCTTCTTAGTTATTTTCCTTATTGTACCTTATAAGAAAGAAAATATATAGAACTGGCTATTAAATTACAAAACAGATTTTTCAAAATTTATTACACAATTGAGATTAAAGGAACGGCATTTTAAAAAAGTAAACTGTCAAAAATTTCAACTTATAATAGCATGAGATCTGGATCGCACATTATATTCTGCCTATAGACTAGTGACTCAAATCAGTACCAGTAAAAAAAACTACCCCACTACCGAACAAGTACAATGTTAAATGGTGAAAACAAAGTTTTAAGTCTTCATTACAATGTTTGGTCATAAAATTCAGACAATATTCAGTACAGCTTTTCGACCAAACAAAACCAATACAACGGTTAGAAAGAAGGAAACAACACATTCATAGATACAAAATCTGTGTAGAAAAAAATAAATAATCCCTTATTAACGAAGCACACTACATATCACTCATACCAACATTCGTACACCACGCAAACCCATTTAAATAATTGTAAAATGGAAAGAGTATAATTATGTGGAGTATTCATATTCAAAGCAAACTAAAATTTCTTTTTGATACTTTCGCTTAAGTAAATTCATCTGCATATCGTATTTTCACCGCAACAAATTATATACAATTGCACAAATAAAAAATCATATTTTTTAAATTATACATTTGGTCTTCCTTTCATTAGAAAAACCGTTATCACATATTTATGCCTAAATACAAAAAACTTTATAAAACTATGTGTCTTAGAGAAGAATACATAATTATTCAAAAACAATTTTAATGACTATATCTTTTTTTGGCAATTATTAATTGCATATTATACCTATAACATCTACCACGAACAGTCCAATAAGTTAAGAAAATAAAGTTTAGTAAATAAATTGCTAATAGTGGCAGATTATAAATTTTAATGTGAACATAGTCATCTGTATATTAAAGTTTTATGTCTTTGGACAATTACCCCTTACATGGACTTGATCATACGATCTCAACAAGTTTCTAAAAACGAAAAATATACAACATTAAAGCAGTGGTATCAGTACTGAATGAGATTTAAATTAAAAAAAATATCACCACCTAAAATCTTTAGGAATAAATATAAACTATACGCAGCTATCCGGATGTTGACTTTGAGATTTCCTCGACTTTGCAGATTTCGTATCGGCTTTCACTTGATCTATGCTCATTTTCCTTGGATTTCCAAGTGTTACTAGCGCACTCGCTATCGCCAGACCAGCCGATTGCCCCTTTATCGTATAGGACTCACCGCCTGTCGGTAGTCTGACTAACAAGCTCAAAACGGCCGCTCTGTTACCGTAGCAAGGCTCTAGAGCGATCGGACTAGGGGCATCTCTTTTCTTACGCTTTGAATCTGATAATATGGAAATTGCGTTCTCCGATTCTAAATTTGGCTTCATTTCTAATTCCACTAAAACCTGCGAGAATGGACGCGAGGCCATCTGTTCCATTTCGACCATGAGTCTCTGTCTTCTTCTGTACATATCGTACCTTTGCTTTATTTTCCATAAAATAGCTGCTACCAGCAACAGTAGCAAGAAGCAGCTGTGAACAAAATTACGCCGATATTAGTTATGAACCTATTAATTGCTTACAGTATCAAACGTTGGCTGTCTGAATTGAAAAAGAAAACATTAAAGGTTGTTAATTTGGTAATTGGTCAATCAAAGTTATTGTAATTCAACAATTTTATTGTATTCATATCCATTGTTGCTGTTTGTCAAGTTCGCAGACACCTTTTCACTTTTTTTTTCATATATTTTCAAAGCATTTATAATAAAATACAGTAAATGAGTATTACAAAATTAATATCAAGTCTTTGTCGAGTGTGGTACGCCACATCCCACTTGAAATTTACCCCACTCCCAATCTGTCAAACAGCTTGTAAATACAAACTCAATTTTTGCGTATAAATACTCACGTGGAGAATGTGATGAAAAACTGCTGTAAGTTCAATTTGGGATACTGCGAGAACGATATCTGAATCCATAAGGGTGGTTGAAAGTCATAAACGTACACATAAAATGTAGTTAATGTTGCATTATCTTCGATACCGAAGCTGTATTCGGATTTTGTAAATCTCGATTTGAATGTAGTGCAATTGTGATTTGTATATATCGGTTTTTCTTCTTTTGAGTTAGCTCGCCGCATCGTAATATTCATTTTGGCCATAACCGAACACGTAATTTGAAAATCGGCGTCGATGTCTGGTTTAATTGGCGAATTTCTAAAGTTGATTTGCGTGTAGTGGCGATCTTCCTTCTTCGATAAGTTAAAGGTAAATTGATAGTCAATTGTTAAATCATCTAAAATGCAGCATTTAATCAACGATACTTGCAATTAGAGGATAATTACAGTAACAAGAGCCTTTATTTGCCGGATCTCCGTGGTAATGGTTGGTGGCATCGCATTTTTCGCAGTGGTCACCTGCTAAACCTTTCGTTGTACAATAACATTTACCAGATTCCGAATGGCATTGTGTGGCTTGCCCGTTGCACTCGCACGGTTGGCATTTTCCACCGTTTACTGGATTTCCCCAATAGCCGGGCACGCATCTTTCACAATGGGGCCCCATCGTTAAGTTGCGACATGGCAGACAAGTGCTGGTGTTGGCTCGACAACTGGCATGTCCATTACACTGACATGCAGGGCAAGTCGTAAAATGCCACCTTTCCGAAGGGCATGTGCTCGATGGTAGAGAGCGTGTGTGCAGTGTTGGACCTTTACAGATAATGGTATTATAAAGGTGTAGATGAAAATATTAGAGACTTGCAAAAACAGGGCGTGCGATAAAATGTACCTATTGTGACAAATCAGATACTCTATAGACGATTGGCGTGGCACCAATGAGAAGTCACGTGAAAGACACTTTCTCAATTGTGTAGTTGTCTACAGAACATCCCTTATTCAAATAATGTTAGCACCTTTTAAAATGGCACAAACAACTTTTACCTTTTACTTTGCGCATGCGCACATCTGATTTTTTGCAATTTAAACGTCAATACTTTTCTTGGTTGAGGTGCCAGAGCGATAAACTACTGAATGCAGAAAGAACGAAAACTGTACGAGTAGTTAAGACTTCGCGTGGACGGACGGACGGAGAAAGTGGTCATAATAGCGCCTCCCAACACGAGTTAGAAATAAAAGAAGTAGCATAAATTTAACTAACAGTATTTATTTTGGTAGCAGACAGTCCCTTATAAACATGCTAATGAAATTTCAGCTTGAATCGGCGCGGCGGTTGAAACCAATCGGCGCGGCGGTAGAACGGCAGCCATTTGTCTAATTTTCAAAGTGGTTTAGTTTATTTATCCAATCAGAAACGAGCAATTTCCGGTTCAAGCTGACATTCAATTGGCCCTAAATATTCCATATCTTACAATGACGGAACCTTAGATCATATACAGTGCTATTCATTTAGAAGTAGACATAGGGATTTCCTATGTCTACTTTTAAATGACAAAAATGCTTCTGAAATACGCTTAATTTAATGCAACCGAAATAAAATGCGCGCGTCGTACTAGATTTTAATAAAAACGACCTTAAATAGTATGCGGATAGGTTATTATGAAGAGATATTAAATTCGGCTGCTGTTTCCCTTAAGTTTCTTATTGGATTCTCTTCCACAAAAATTAAAACCGAGATTAAAACATTCAGTTTCACATCCTCCGTTAAAATTGAGGGTTGTTTACGGTGTCTTAACGAAAATAAAAATACGTAAGCCAAAGCAATAACATTCCAATTAATAAATTGAAATAAAAATGCCGTGTTTAATTTGTGGTAAACGTACTAGTATAGAAAGTGCAATTTCATTTCATGGATAAGTTGCAAAATGTGTGCCTTGTGATTTCTAGGTTCTGGGTTTCCTATTTTTGATGTGGAAGATCAGTGTGACGCAAAAACAGCTTTACCGTATATATTGTTGTGAAAACTTCCTAAGACTGAAACTATCCACACAACTTGTTAGCTCAATCTCACAAAAACTCTTTAAAACACAAATCTCAGGGCCCGTAAAATGAGTCCGACTACCCCTTTTTTTCGTCCGGACAAGGGGTAGCAACCTCGCCAAGTCGGTGGCTAATACCTCCCTTAAATTCCAAATAAAATAATCCTTTGTTAACTGACTTCTGGAATGAAATTTAAGTCCCACCGATGATCCAAACCTTTTTAGGTTACCAAACTCCTTTCACACTCGGGATAAAAAAAAGAAAACTTAAAATTTGAGACTCGAATCCTTGACCTTTACTTTGACACACACAAATAATAAATGACAACAAAAAAATTTACAAAGCTAAATTTGAATTTGAAAAAAATGACTTACACGAATTGAAACACAAAACCGTCTCAGACGGCGATTCTTACAATTAAATTAAAACAAAAATGACAGTACCCACGATCTGTGTACAAGCTAATCCTTTTTTTCAAATGCACAAACGACCGATGCACACAAAAACACAAACACAGCCCCAGGTACGTGCTGACACAGCTACTCCAACAGCTCCTCGGCGATGCTGGCGTTAAACAAACGTTCCGCCTACTCCAGATAATGTCAAATACAACGCAAACGAAAATGTTGCTGCTAAAATGGCATTATTGTACCGCTCGTTTCCCTTCAACAAACTCCTTCCAAAAGACCTTCTTAAAACTCCTCGATGCCGGCGTACTCCAAACGTTCCCGGACTTTCAAATAACAAAAGACGATGAATAAACTGGCGTAACTTTAGCAAACGCCGCTACAAAAAACTTTCCAAAAATCTTCACATAAGACAAAACTTAGGCTTCGCGAAACGGTACAATAAGCGCCTTCTCTTCGCTGTTCAAAACCATTTATACCCCAGCTATCGTCAAATCTCGTTGCGACGCTTTTCCATGTAAAATTTGAATCTCGGAGCCGATAAAACTTAACGGTCGACTCCGCGGACCAATAACATAATTGCATAAATAAAACTATTACCGATCGTAAATCAACTTAGACTGGCACTTTTACGAGTTTTAACACGTCAAAATTCCTATGAAATTCGCTCTTAAACAACTAAGTTTCCTTAGCTAAAGTAACACTTGTGAAAAGCGCGTGCACTCTGCTAACTTCCACGAATTTAACAATAACAAGACAAAATTTATTACATTTAAACACACTAATTACGGATTCGATTTTCCCAGACTTAAGTTTCTTAATTAACTCCGGCCGAGCATTAATTGAACTAAAACAACGATCCTCTGCATAAAAATGGGAAATAAACTTCTTTCCAGAGTAAATAAATGCCGTCCAACTGCGGCCTAATAAAAAAACACAACAATATGTAATGGTGAAACGCGGAAAAATCCATCCATCTATTCCATTACCGAGATCTCGATCGATTTATGTCCTTTGTCTTAATATTCAGCTTATCATAACTATGAAACACAAAAGTTCGAGTTAAGCTCAAGCGTTGTGTCACGAATGGAGAAGTAGTTTGAGTGTTGTACCTATCAAACAATAATTCGCAAAGTGAGGTTGTTCTTTAAAGTGTTTCCCAGTACCCGATAAAGTAAAGTTATCCAACACGAAAAAGGCACTTTTATATTTAAAGTTACAACAATTTATTTAAATCCAGAGTAAAAGTAACGAAATGAAAATTACGAAGCAACATCAGTTGATGTTTGTGTTCTTGTGCGTCTGTTAAAGAAAATCGCAGTTATGACCGGATGTTATTAATTTTATTAAAATAATTAGAAGCTTCTGTTAAATTAAATTTTTTTCAATCGATCGCTTACGCGTGGTATATAGTTTGCAGGCCCTGAGTGCCTTTCCTGTTACAGCATTATTGATTGAAAAAATTTGTGTTTGTAAATGATCAGCTGTGTGTTTAGTCAAGCCAAATTAGGACTCAGGATTTAAGATACATTTTTCTAGTGTAGCCAGGATTATGTTCAAAAAATTTAAGTCTTCATCGAGAACAGTTACTGATACGTCTTATAATTACATCGCTACTTTTACGCTCTTTTCGGAGCAATCGGCCATTTTTAGTAGCGCTATGCATGTCAAAGTAGAGATTGTGACATAAGACCACAACTGTTATCGATACGCTACAACTGTTGTGTCTAATGAACGAGGCCAATGTTTTAATTTCAGAGAAATCATCAAATCATCAACTTAATTTTTTTTATTTTTCATTTGCCTATTATACAGGGTGATTCCTATAGTACCTGCCACCGTTTGGGAGCGTATAGGGGGTGCCTAGGGGAGTATTTTGATATAGGACACTTGGGGGCGGAAATCTAAAATAAGGGCGCCAGAACCAAATTTATCTTCTGGAATTTCACGCCTGTATGTAGGCAACCCAACCGACCGACGTTTCGCGCGGGGCGATGCAGAGCGAGTTAGCGCGAGGAAGCGACATGGGAGGGAAGGAGGGAAAACGACAGTCAAAAGCAATAACGTTTACAAGTGTTCAACGTGGCCACCGTTCTTCTCAATGCACTTCCTACATCTAGCCAACTATTATTATACTATTGCCATAGTGTTTATTCACTTGATACGCGTCGTTGCAGACGGGATTTCGTGGGGTTAAAAAAAATTCTGATCAAGTGTCAGCCACACATCGCCGCCTGAGATCGCTCCGTGTGCACCGCCGGCCGGTTGGGTTGCCTACCTACAGGCGCGAAATTCCAGAAGGTAAATTTGGCTCTGGCATCCTTATTTTAGATTTCCGACCCCAAGTGTCCTATATCAAAATACTCCCCTACGCACCACCTACACGCTCCCAAACGGTGGCAGGTACTATAGGAATCACCCTGTATGTCAATTATATCTGTCATATGTGATATGACAAGCAGTCTATTACGCCCAAGGGCATAATGGATTGTCATCTCATTATGCCCTCAAACGGCCCGTCAAATTGATTGATGGAGTTACATTATGTCATAAAAAAGATGCAACTTGATTCGTATGAAGCACTTTAATGTTGGACAAACAATATAATCATGACATTTGTATATTGGAAATGCATTCTTTGGAACGATGAAAAATACAATGTTGTATGCACCTCAGGCATTACTCAATATTTAACCCTTGGGCGACTTACAATCCCTCGGGCCGCCTTGGGCTCTGTCGCCCTCGGCATAAATATCGCCTTAATGCCCTTGATGCATAAATAACTATTATGCCTTTAAAAAAAGTACATACTGTACGAGATACTGTATTAAGTAGCATTTTTTATTATGATTACCACGATATATGGCACACAATGCCTTGATTGTGTGAGAGTAGTTCTCAGACAAATTTCATTTTACCTACAAAGCTTTAGTTGTTCGTTGTCAACACTATTTTATGAAGAGTTTATCATAAGAATCAAAGAAAAGGATGTAAGATTGGATGGAGGACTTTGTCATAATTCTGCTTTCGTCATTATACCTTTCCGTAAATTGTGAAAACTTCACCTGTTTATCTACGTGTTGATTATGACGTCACAGGCGCACCATCTGTTTCAAGACAAGGTTAGTTTGTTTACATTTTATGTGTACTTAAACTGAATTACGTTTGCGTTTCTCGGAACAATTCATTATATCGTTTACGAGTAAGACTCTAGGAGTACAATATAGTTGAAATTGAGAATTTCAAAAATATTGTATTGATCTGAGAGAGATTTTGGAGTTAAAAAACTGACATAGAATTGTTTTTCATTTAAATTGTAACCTATAACGTTTGCATCATAAATGTAGCAGATGATGCATTTGACAGTATTTATTGATTTAAAGGTATAATTCAGGTAACGTATCAATTTTGATCTTGATAGGTTATTTAAAATTGGCTCATTATCTGAGCACAACGTTTCAAAATAACAGGTATTTTATATAGGCAAACCAAAAAAAGTTTCATAGAATGAGTCTCGGAATAAGCTATAACCTAAGGAGCAATGAGTCAGTAAGAAAAATCATCATTGGTATAACCAACATGGAGATAACATTCTCAAACCTATACATTGTCAAACATCACATGTTATACCATCAAAGATTCGGTGATGCAAAAAAGGTATTGCATTGTCATGTCCGATTCATATAGCACTAGTTTGAGGTTCTTCCCAATGAAGTATCACACAGGACGAGAGTACTGAGATGCGTTTTGAACATTTCTTGATATTATTTAGCAATGAAAATGTGAATACATTGAAAGATTGCTAAGGTAACTTCTAGTTAAGAAGTACAAGATGTGTGAAACTACATTTGATGTTAAAATTGGTAGTTTTCCCCAACACCTTTAAGTTTTTTATACCCCTTGCCTTGGGCACAAACGCTTTATTAAATGTTAATTGTAAAGTCACTAGATATAGAAAGTACCGCAATCCGCCATTTTTGGGCAAATTTGCTGCCAACTTAAAAAAATTGACAAATAAAATCTGAATAGCTGTAATTTTTTATAACCTAACTTCATAGTACTGTCATGTTTTATAAAAATATATACAGATATCTCCAAACAGGTGGAACAATCCCTAACATTAAAGTTACTAGAATCTGGTAACTTCCGCCATTTTTGGGCAAAAATCATGCGTTCTCTCTCTAACACACGAGCCCAATGGATTGCGGTACTTTCTATATTTAGGGACTTTCGTTAATTGTATACGACAGCGCGATCTACAGTTTCAGTGCACTTAGTGTATGTTTAGCAACTAAAAAATAAAAAGCAGCATTACCTGCATATCCTCCAGGCATACATTTTCCCAATCCTGTTTTGGAACCATCATCGCACCAACCACATGCTGGATCATCCCTACATTGCGCGCATGTTGAATAAAAACTGCATTGTGATTTTTCTTCCCCTTTACTTCTACATTTAGTACTAACAGTGGTCCACTCCCTACACTGTCCATATGGAAAGCTTGCAGTATATGCATTTTTATCAATACATCTTCCTTCATTTTGGCACCAAATGCATTCCTCTTGCGTGCAATTTAAGCAAGAGGTATATTCTGCACAAACCTTAGGGCACTGTATCGGTTCGGAAGGTTCAGTTGTAGTGTTAACCAATGTCGGAAATATTGTACACTTGGCATTTTCGTACTTCCATCTGCATGACAATTGCGAACTACATGCCGTGCAAGTGTGCAGTTGTTTGCAAGTGGGCGCAGGATCAACAGGGCACTGATCCAGACTAGTAATCTCCCGTTCGGCGCAATTTTCGCGGCATTTCTTGAAAGTGCAAACTCCGTTTTCGAACCAAATACATTTGTTGGTGGTTTGCACGCAACCGGCGCAGTTATCGGACTTTTCACATTTGTCCACCTTCTGTATCTCGCTCTGCGCTTTAAACGATCTAGCCTCCTCTGGACATTTGCTGATGACACCGTCTCCATCTGACAATAAAGTTCGTGGAATGTCTTGAATATGAACGCACTTACTGTTCTTGTGATCCCAAACACATTTTACACCAATTCGAGCATTAAGACATGCGGTTGATTTAGTTAAATGAGAACATGAGCCGGCGGTATACTTCAACATGTCGGAAAGCATTTGACCATCGAAACCTCCATAAATATATAAGGCGGATTCGAATATTACAGCCGAATGGCCAAATCTAGCCAAATCAGATTGCAATTCTGATGTTACATTCAAAGTTTGCCAACTGTCGCATTCCACATCGTACGTGAGTACCTCGGAACTGTAACACTTTGCTCCAAAGCTGTGCGAAGTGTCATTGTGTGTATTCCCCCCAAACACTAACATTAATCCTGGAGATATAAACGTTGCAGTATGCAAAAAACGAGCTGTGGGCGCATCAGTGAGTAACGTCCAAATGCGCGTGTCTGCGTCGTACGAATATAGATGGCGGCTCAGTAGCTGGGTCGATTCACTTTCGGAAACAATTCCGCCGTACACGTAAATTTTCCCGGTAAGTTTATCCCAACTGGCAGTATGACCGTAGCCGCCCTTCACGGGGTATCCCCGTGTACTGACAATGTGCCACTCTCTCGTGCCGAAATAATACTCCTGGACGGTATTTAAATATCCCAGACTAGGCGAATGCCCAAATATAACGACCATTTTATCCGCCTTTTTGTTATTGAGATTCGTCACCACGGTGCTCGTATGCCCGGCAGATCTTAAAGGGCCGCAAAGAAGGAAACTGCCGTTACACGATTCAGCCTTTACCGTAATATTCTCCCACGTTTTGGCGCTAATGTCAAACGCCCAAAGTTCGGATGTCGGTCCTTTGTTTCCAACCACGCCACCATACACAAAGAGTTTGTCTCCATATAAAACAGTGGAATGCGCATAGCGGCGCGTCAGCGAAACTGGCCCTTCGATTATATGCGGCGACTCCCAGACATTACCTACAAATTTTAGCAATCAATTTCTGGTATTTCTGATACATTTTTAATTGTAATAAACCACATTTTAAATTCAATTTCATTGAAGAAATATAATAGAAAATATACAAATGTAAAGGAGATTGTCTGTTATGGGATGGGGAACGTCTTCAAGGGCTTGTCTCATGTTCTTCTCCGGTCATAGATAAGCGTTGCGCTTATTCCTAAAAGTTAATTAATTTTGTAAACAGATGCAGGTGCCCGTTCAGATAAGAGCATTTTGTTTATTTTAAGGTCATTGAAGAATGTTATTACGTCATTTAACAGTGAAGTGTTGTATCACATATTCGGAGAAAAGTTTAAGTGTTAATAAAGACGTGGAGTTTCTGTGGCGAATTCAGTTTAGGGTTTGTTTTTTTATACACGCATCTGTAATGGAAATCGCAGTGTAAGTGGATATTTAGATTGGCATTACAAGGTAATTAAGGCTTTACTGAACCTGTTTTGATCGAGCGCTTGTAGTGTGGTATTTGTCGCTGACACTGTTGCCACTTTTTATTAAATTGTTACCATTATACATTTATTGCCAAGTCCAACTTGGGAGTATTTGACCACTAATTAATACTTAAATCGATTCTCCCTTTTTTGGTGTTTATACATAAAACTATTTGTGCACCAATTTCGTTGGGAAAATGGATCAAAATATCTTCAGAAACAGCATGACAATATCAGGTTGGATATAAACATAGAATCAGTAGTTAAAGAACATAATATTTTAGCTTCTTTTTTAGAAAATGTGTTTTTTTTTCTCTTTACTACTAAAGAACCCTAATAGCTCCTTAAAACAACCTGCGTCTGTAATGTGAAAATCACGTCAAATTGATAAATGGTGGCTGTAATCTCGATTCATTTTTATAAAACCTACAACACCTACAGAACTATCACTATAAATTGACGATTATCAGTTAAACGTTTTAAATATACTCGTACACTAGAGATTAAATTTTGATTATAAAAATGCATCATCGAACACCCCATTTACGATGTTGAAATGCTCGAACCTATACTGTATTCATTTTAAGAAGGTACCGGTAGAAAGAATAGGGAGGCTTTGACCTTCACTGTGATTGGTTAAAACAGAGTCAGTATTACAATGAAACATAAAACGACTAGTGAATTTTGTAAGGTGGTAGTTTAAATTTGCCAACTAAATTGCCGAAGTCTCATTAGTTGTTATTGTGAAAGATTTATTTCTGTTTGCAGTGCTGAATATTTCTACTTTACAATAATTTGGTGCCGTTTTATATTTTTCCTGTGTGTGTTTATCTTCAAACACAGCGCCATCTACTACCTTCTTATAATGAATGCAGTATAAGCTTCTAAATCCTGTCTACCTATAACTGAAACTCCTCTAAAAACAACCATTCTTACCGTTAAAATCATACACATTCAACATAGGTCCTCTATTATAAATTTCTCCGGCAACCACATACATCGAATCCCTCCAAACTGCAGCACCATGTGATGCCGACCCAGGAGGCGTGTAACCTTGAGGAGTTACAGTTTCCCAGTACCCTTGAGATGCCAACTGCCCACAATCTTCGCCTCTCCAAGACTTATCACAAATACATCCCTTCTCCGGCTCGCACCGTCCCCTACTGTCATTTCTCCAGCAATTATTCGGGCATTTCAATAAATGGCACGCTATCCCGTCCCATTTACCGTCGCACGTACACACACCGTCTATACAAATTCCGTTGCCGGAACAATCCACCCCGGAAACCTTCGAGGGGCACGCGTTCAGTCTGTACGATATATTAAAACCGGACATGTTATAGGCATCGTCACTAAAGAAGTGAAGTAAAGCTGAACCTGTATGGGCGATCACCTCCGGAATCTTTCGTATGCTATATTTATTTTTGTACATTAGCCCACTAAAAACCGCCAGGAGCGGCGAATCGACGCTGTCGCCGTCGAACACGTATAAATGATCCCAACCACACTCCGTCGCGAATTCTTCAATATGTAAAGTTATCGAAGAGTTCGGCGCATCTATTAACCAGCTACATTTAACTCCAATTGAATAGTTTCCTAGGCCGTCGTGTATTATGCCAGATTGGGCCCCCAGCCTAGTGAAAAAAAATATAAATTAGATATAGACACTACAAAGATTTGCATCATAATACAGAATTTGAGTATAGTATAGTATAGTATATTTTTTATATTGCCAGTACATTCTGTAGAGAAATGTATGCAATATTTGTCATAAATTGTAACAGCAGAAATTACATAGAAAAGAATAACAACTAAAAGTTCCTTTAATTAACGTCTTGTAGCATCTCATTTTTTAAAAACTCAATTTTTGTGGCTAGTTTCAATTGCATATAGAATAGTTCTGCAGCTCTAGATAGGTTTTCCCTCTAATCTACCCGATTCATCTAAAATAATGGTCGAAAAACCCACACTTTACTGTGTGTAAGCGCACCCCTTAATATCGGCAGAATAGGCTTTGGGTGAAATATACAATTTTGGTAAGAATTTTTAAATTTATGGTCACATTCCACATAGTTTTTACTTATATAACCAACTAAAACTGCCAATTCTACCAAAGTTACAGGGGCGAGCCTAGTACAATTGCTCTTCTAGTATAAAAACGGTCATGTCAATCATCGCAGGTAGCCGCCCATTACAAAATTGGTCGCCTGTGAGCTGTACCCAAATTATGGTATTATATTTTTATCTCTATCTAGCCCATGCGAAGAAAAAGATAAGTTTTGCAGTGGGCGGCTACCTGCGCGACTGTTCTTATACTAAACGACGTATAATTTGAATGCCAACTTGTAATACAACAATCCTCATTTCAAAAGTTTGCTTTAGCTGCGTTATTTAAAAAAAATGTCAACAAAATTAAACCTCTGGCGAACAAAAATATGGCATGCAACTACTTTATAACGTAATTATTTGCAAAGGTATTTCGATTTCAAAAATGCGCTTTATCTGCACAATTTATACTTGTTTTTTTACATAAGTATCAAAAGATTAAAACTATTATGTATATTAAAATTACAATAATGTATTGTAAATTTATTGATTTATTGTACGGCACGGGAAAGAAGGAAATTTAATTTTCATCATTATTTTGAGATTCCAAGGTTTCATCTTCTATAAATGGTGTGTGATTATCGTAGTCACTTTCCACTGCATATAATGCAGGCAGATGAGCAATGAAGGTCACTTCTTCTGCAACCACACGCTGCTCCACATCCTAGTTTTGCAAAAGCAAAATATAATTTTTAAAACATTGCTGGGTGCTGCAGTTGCGTAATTTTCCTTTTGCCAGCACCATTTTTCAGGAGGTATTATAGATTTATACTAGCGTAAATATTGTGTAAACAATATTTTGTATAATATAACAATAATATTGTTTAAACAATATTTTCCCCCTTGATAAAAGATTTCTGATTTTAAACAATAAAAAAATAATAATCAAGATTGCAGTTGTTTCCAAGGAGATTGCACAATTGCGAACGACATCAATCATGACGTGTTGATTTCACATGTGCAATGCGAGCACAAGTGGAATTTGTTTATTTTGTGTTCAACATTAATTGATGGACAGTGTTAGCGTTTTTATTTAATTTTGTATGTAGGCACCTAGAATAAAAGTAAAACTAATACCGAATCAAAAAAATTGTTTTACTCTTTTTTTATTTGTCAATAATAATAATAATAATAATAACTCACAAAACAATCAAACACCATTTACAACAACTTGATCTAATGCCGAATCAACAAATTTGTTGCATGCGCAACCGTTTTTTAATTTGTCAAGATATTTAAATGAAATTTTGTAAGTAAGCACTTCGAGTAAATGTAAAAGTAAACCTAATGGCGAATTAAAAAAATTATTTTGCGCATGTAAAATTCTGAATTTTACAACAATTACAGTTTTAGGGGAAATGGTTTGTGTTTTGGATCTCCATGAAAGTTTATAACTTGGTTTATAATTTTGAGAAACCTCGGTATGCACGCTTTAAAATTTTATTTTGCCACTACATCAAAGAACATTAAGTATAATCTCAGTCAAAATGTCAATATTTGAAAATTAAAATTTCTACCTCGATTTCTACCCATTTTCTAGGATCATAATTTTTGGAGGCAAATTTGCGGGACTTTTATAAAATCTAGAACTGTACTACTGTTATGGATGCAATTAGAACTAGTAACAAAAATTTAAACTCGGAAATTTCTCACAATTAAACAGATTTCTCAAAATATCTAAATGGTAATTTCTAAGACCACCCTGTATGTGTTGAATCAACAAAAACGGCAATTATAGAAAAAATAAGTCGCTTGGAGTCTGTTTGTGCCACAGTTAATGTATGCGGGGACAGGTATACCAAAGTATCTATTGAATAAACATGATACTTATTAAAACATTACGTCTGGAAAAAATATCACCTACTGACATTGACAATGCATTGGCTCAAAAATCTTTTAAGTTGTGGCTGTCATTGGAAGTGCAGGTTATTGCCCTGGTGATATGAACACCATTATCATATGCTGTGACCTCGGCTGTGACTCAAAAGCGTTAACAAATTCAAACCGTCAACTCCAAAATGTTCACTGCCACCCTGTATGTTTTTACAAATATGTACTTTAAAATTTCTTTTGGCGAAAAATAAATATCTAAACTGAATGCACTGAAGATCATCAAAGTCAGTTCATGTTAGTAACTATTTCTCAGAGGAATTTTTTTTAAACGCAAAATGCCTGGTCCAAGTCTTAATACTGTAAAAGGTTCGCATTAAATTAAGCTCTTCTTAGCACAAAAGGTAGCTGCGACTAATTTGACATGGAACAAAAGGATGAAGTACCCTCGTTTAAATGTAATTAAGATATCATTAAATAAAGCCCTCATTAAAAACAGGAAGCAAGAAACTGATAATCAATGCGAAATTATGCAGTTCGATTAGGTAAAGTGGGAATGATATTCACTCACCTCACTTTACCTCCGCAAAACTGACACTGGGGGCCTTGCCAACCATCGTAACAGACACATGTTGTATCGTTCTTGCATACCCCATTACCTCCACAGCTAGAGGAATCGTGGCACTTTGCCTCGGCCTGAGTACAACCACAACCAAAAATGACAATTACATAGCACGAAAGGATCCACGCCAGACAACATTTTCGACGATACTTAGACTTAAATAAAAACAAAAACATTTGTAGGATTTCTAACATTTCAATGCCACCATTTTAGCTTTCAAACGCTTATATGGCGACGTCAAACGGTAAATTCTCACTGTCGTTTTTAATCGTTCATTTAAATCTTTACTATGTTTTGATATTATTAATACATATTATATTTATTTAGTTAACGATTGATAAGTTATTATCAGCAAAACATGCACAAAAAACAGGAATCCATTATTTTTGACATTTAGGGATTTATTTTCCTTTTTGTTTTTGACAACTAAAAAATTCAATTATTTTAACACAGGACCGCACTTGACTTGACTGTTAATGATACAGGGTAAATAAAAGTATTTCCGGCTTATTTTCTCTGTAGGTAGAAAATCCCTCTATTCGTCTGTATGCCCATCCGTGTTACAATCTACAATTTACTGTTTACGTGATACTTCCAAAAATTAATTATTGTGGTTGCTTCGTCCGTTCATCCGTTTGTCACTATGTTAAGTCCTTGGGAAATTACTTCCAAAAATTAATTATTGTGGTTGCTTCGTCCGTTCATCCGTTTGTCACTATGTTTAAGTCCTTGGGAAATTACTTACTTAGCTTACCTTCTTTCTATTTATTTCAGCATGATCCCAAGCATTGTATACAAAGAGCTAGTTACTTTCCATGCGGACAGTTTTAAATTCTTATTGTTTATTTCGCGCTTACTCCTGCATGCCCACGCGAGACCATCAGGAGTCTCTGGAAACGGTATTCAAAGCTATGGACTACGGAATTGGCAAACATAGCACTGTAAAAGAGGTTAGAGCCTTGGAAAAGGAAATGATCTAGAAAACGTTGGATTGTTCGGAAAAGTCATCGGATGCTCCAAAACGCATTTATAAAACCAGGGTAAATTTATAAAATGTTTTTCACAGTCTTCTAAGCACGCCTATTTCGCGAAAAGTGCTATAAAATTAATTATAAGTGTCTCAAAGGCCCTAGAGGGGTACTATGGAGACTCTGGGTAGTCACTTGAGACCTTGAAAAGCGCTAGGCAGTTCTGGTAAAAGTTTTGAACGCATCCCGGAGCCTTATGAGGGACACAGACCATCCCAGTTCTTTTCTAGAGCATTTTCGTACATTCTCAAATCTCTCTCTTCTTCTACGTAATTGGTTGAACAGACACACAATCCTTACGATTTGTGCGCAACACTGAATTAGCGCATAACATCTGCAGTACTCTGTATAATATAAAACCTACGGCTATGTTGGCGAAACTGAATTTTGTGTTGGTCGTACTGCCTGATCGAAAATTGAACTGTCAGAAGTTACGTTTTGTAAATATTTACCTCAAAATCATAAAATTCTCGAAAATCTTTGTTTGGAAATGATGATTTAACAAAAATGGGAAATCAACTTGTAGGAATTGCTCCATCCCAGATATATCCGGTCGAACACTACCTAACGGATCTTCCTGAAATAAAATTCGATACAAGGTAGGTACCAGTCCACTGGAAAACGTGTGTACTCACTTCGCCCCACAGTTTAGGTAGCACGCGTTTCTTTAAAGTCGCACGCGCCGAGTCTCAAGAGGGATTGATAGTTGTTAAGGTGTTTGCCATTCACGATCCTACCTTACCGTTGCAGCCATATAAAGAATGTCTGGACGATATTCGCATCAAACTGTCATCTGCCGTGAATTGTTCGCCATTCCAAAAAATTGTCGTTACAGAAAAGGCCGGACTGATAATGAGGGAGTACGTTAAGTACAGCTTGTACGATCGTATAAGTACCAGACCATTTTTAACGAACATCGAGAAACGTTGGATAACGTTTCAAGTGTTATACGCATTACATCAGTGCCATAAGGTTGGAGTTTGCCACGGCGATATTAAATTAGAAAATATTACTGTGACTTCGTGGAATTGGGTGCTGCTTGTGGATTTTGCGTCCTTTAAACCTACATTCCTACCCGAAGATAATCCGGCGGATTACTCGTACTTTTTTGATACATCCAGGAGACGTACTTGTTACATAGCTCCGGAGAGGTTCATTAAAACTTTAAGTTCGGAAAGTACATCGCTGTTTAACGAAGCTCCCTGTAATTTAGGCGAGCTTAAACCTGCAATGGATATATTTTCAGCTGGGTAAGTTGGTCGTTATCATTGGATAAGAATCTGAATAGAAGGTCAATGAGATAGGAGAAAAGGTGACCAGGAAAATAAATGCACTGCACCTGTGAGGTAATTTGATGCCTCCTTTGATGCTTATTCTAATCTGTAAAAATACATCAGCTGCATTCTTTCCAGGAACAGATTCCTGCTATTTGAGAATCGTTGTTGAATGACATTCCTTGTAATTTTTGTAAATGATCTCTTGTGTTCTAAATATGTTTTTTTTACATAAATTCTTATATAGGTAAATTAATAAGAGTTAACCAGTGTATAGGAAACAGAAGGTACCTAGGTAGGTTTACCATTTAAAATAGAAGTACTTTCTTTTTTTGCCTATATTTTATATTAGTGGGTATTTAAGTTACAATAGGCACCTTGGTGACCCATTTATTGGATCAAATTTTGGTCTAGTTAGCTAAGTTACAGGCTTAGATCATTATTTACTTACCGAGGTATCAAGGTATGAGCATTTTGAAGGATATATGTTTCAGTGTTGGATACAGTCTACTGTTTAGTTGTACATGAAACCATGTACTGAACATATTTTCCCCAATTAACGGGCTGCTACTTTTGATGTACATCGTTCTGTGATTTGCGATCGTTTGTTCAAGGGCTTTAGATCTCAGCACTAAGGTCTTATAGAAAACTGCAGTTTTTTGTTTAATTTAAATGACTTTGGCTTTAGGGGAAGGTCGGGTTATTATTCCTAAAGGAATCGGTCTATGAGAATTACTTGTATGTAACAGATTTGTATTGCGTTTATTGGTAGGAAGCGGATCCCAACAGAGCATTTGGGTGATTTTGTTTCATTGATTGGAATGTTGCATTTAATTTCAGTGATACCATTCCTTTGGTTGGATTAAAATTTTGTTTAGCATTCAGAGGGATGTGTGTATTTTGTACAGGAGAATGTACCAGTAATTTATTATATGGTAATGATTTTATATCCAGGAACGTGTAAAGGAAAATTCATCGCGAGATTCATCATTTAGTTTTCTTAATATATTTCAATAAACTAGTCATATGTGTATTTATTAGAATTTAAACCAGACCATTAGATTGTGAATGTCAGGTTTTAAGAGGAGATAAAGGGTTTGGTTGGTTTGGTTTTTATTACTGAGCTAGCCGTGGGTCAAATAAAAATTGCCATATTAAAATTATTTTCCAGTGGCAAAGAGGTTCCATTTTATTTTGTGCAAGTGAGGCCTTTGACCCCAAATATAACTAAACCGTTCCAGTATACAGGGTATAACTAAGCACTGATCGTTTAACTTGTAGAAATCGATCGGCGAAGGTTCACATCACTGTCTTTTCGTTCTGGAGTTAGACGAGGAACTGTTGGACAGACGGACAGACAAAGCAATCGCATAAGGGGAATTTTTTTCGTTTGAAGCACTTTAAAAGGGGCATGAACTGCTACAAAAGTTGCTATCGATTTTAAGGTTTTTAAATTATGGGAAGCTTTAATTCCTCGGTGCAAATACATTGTTTTAGTATAGAGAGTAAGAAAAGGACTTTTCTTTAGGAAAGTGTAAAAAAAAGTCAATAAACTGGTCCCTTGGGAAAATACTGAATTATGCTTCTATTTTGATTCTTCAATGCCATTATTGTTTCTGTGAAATTAACATGGTTTAAATTATTCTAGCTGTGCTTTATTAGAGTTATGGAACGAAGGGCATGCCCCCTTTGACCTATCCCAATTGTTAGCATATCGTTCTAACGAGTATTCTCCACAACGACATCTGGACAAAATCGAAGATGCCGCACTGCAATCACTGCTCGCGAGCATGATTCAACGAAATCCCGCGCACAGATTATCCGCCGAACTGTATTTGTCACAGGAGCGCGGAAAACTATTCCCAGAGTATTTCTACACGTTTCTCCAGTCGTACATGCAGATGTTTTCGGCGAGTCCCATATTATCGCCGGACGAAAAGATTGTTAGATTAAAGAACGATATTAGGAATATTTTTAAATTTTTACATCCAAAACACGATGGGGACTTTGAGGACGATGCTGAGGAGAATGAGAAATTAAGGGATGATAATGGTTTGGTAATAATAACGGCATTAGTTACTTCGTGTGTGAGAGGCTTACATGACTGTACGTCTAAGCTCTTGGCTTTGGAGATATTGCTCGAGCTTGCATCACATGCGAATGAAGAAACAATTTTGGATAGAATTTTACCTTACATTGTAAGATGAGTATTTTCTGAGGGGTGTCTCATCCTGTAAATGTGTATCCCCTCTTCCGTTTTTGTGAAAAGTGTGTCCATTACTATCCTTTGTTTGAGAACTTTTTTGGTTATTGTGGTTTTTTCCGCTTCCTTTTTTTTTGTATGATTTTGAATATGGTCAATACTACGATAAGTTTAATCAAATTTACTCCTCCAATAGACGCTCATTGAAATTTATTCCGTAGCGCGCACTCGGATAAACAATGACAGAAATTTAATTTCAAGCTTATAATCTAACTAAAACGATTGTACTATAGCGATAATTGTTCCATCTGTAGCTACTGGTATTACAAACAAAAAATTTGAGGAAGAATATTTGTCTATAATTTCCTCAATTCTGTACACTATTTCCGACTGTGAGACACCCCTCAGTTTCGTTGAACAGGATTGATTTGTTTTTGTTTCAGCTGTATTTTGCCCAAGATTTGAATGCCAGAGTGAAGGTGCTGGCAATTAATGTTATAACTCAATGCTTAAACTTAGTTAAACACATTCCACGATCGGACGCGAACATTTTTCCCGAATACATTTTACCCGGTCTAGCTCCTTTGGCGATCGACCCTAGCGTTAGCGTACGTGCGGCGTATGCACAAAATATAGCGACACTAGCCGAAATAGCGTTAAGATATCTCGAGCAGACGCAAACAGATTGGTGCGATAAGACGAATTCGAGTAAACAAAAAGACGTTCCTCATATTAATTACGAAATTGAATTGCAAACGCTACATGACATGGTGCGACAGTCGGTCAGCGCACTTTTGACGGATAGTCAAACGTTGGTTAAGCAAACCCTTATGGAAAATGGAATTACGAAATTGTGCGTGTTTTTTGGAAAGCAGAAAGGTAAAGTGTTTAGTTTTAAAAATGAAGGGCCACATTAAAGTAACAGTTATGTTTCAAGTCCCAATATTCCCCCAATTGTTCTTAGACGTATTGTCTTACTATAGCGCGTTCGCACCTCCAGATGCAGTTTGGTGCTTATGGACATACAGTACATGCTTGCCAAACGTGACAATGACAGCACAAGGAGATTATGTTTTGTTTTAATACTTCAATTTAATCATATGTCAATTTGACATCAATGCAGTTAGAAACAAGGATAGTATTCTCGAAGAATGACGCAAACTAGTAAGAGAGTAGTTAAGACTCCTTACTGCATCTGCTGCGAACGCGCTATAGGTTATTGTTTAATGCCATGTATCATTTCTGGAGGCTTTTTCCCTCTCACAAACAGTGTGCCTTGAAATGTGTTCCACCTCGTGTTCCACACTGGGTTAAGGTAATAATTACTGCACTACGTGTTTATATTCAGGACAAGGTAAATGAAGTGGATCATCGTAATTAAAACTAGAGCAAGGAGCGCCAGTCTATCGTTACCGAATGTTGAATGAAAGAGCAGAGCAGAACGAAGTACGAATCCATTGTTGTAAGATAAGCGTTTATTGGGTCAGATTTTACAAGGACGATATCTATAAATATGAGTGTAAATAGTACCCAGCTAGCAATTGAGGTGTCATTCGACGTCGATTCGACTTCAAATAAGTAACGACACCAATTTCAATAAGTGCAGTATAACATAAATTCGACGTCGAATCGACTTAAGTGGTGTTTTTTGACACGTCGATTCGATGTGAGAAATAAGTTAAATAGGTGTGATTTAACTAATAGGTGTTAGGTGTCTAGACACCTTATTAGGTAATTTTCTACGTCGAAGCGACGTGGCGGATTACTTATTTTCTACATGTCGTTTTGAACTTATAACCATACTTCATTATTATCCTCTCTTTTTAAAGAATAGTACCTACAGTTAATAAGAATACTGTTATGAACTTTATGGCTGGCGTCATGTCAGACAAATTACCTATTATATGTAAAATATTGAATATGTTTAATTTCATGATTTCTATGTGGAAATATTTCGTGCGAATGCATTTTCTATGACAAACATATATCTTCTGCCTTCAAAAAACACAAAGCCCCTCTGAAATAACTATTATAAAAATAATAAAAAAAATAGTTATTCGTTTGTCATTTTTATAGTTGTACATTTTTGGAAGTTTAACTATTTTATTCAAACATACAATCATTAATAATACCTAAATATAATCATATTTTAATTGTAGAACACATATTTATTCATTAATGCTAAAAAAACATGTATGATGATATTTCGGCCGTCTACGCTAGCCAATAAATATGTCTGCCTTCTCGTTATATTAATCTAATAAGTAGAGTACCCTAATTTGCACCTATATTTTCGACCTCATATTTCAAGTTGGTGAAGAACAAGCTACTTTTGATACCTATTACCTAATTGGTGTACAATATTACCAATTTTTATACACCTAATTGTAACAAATTCATGTAAATACCGCTTAAGTACACCTAATACCTACGTGTAATCGCAACTAAGTATGTTGGGAATTCGACCTAACTAACTAAACCAACCTATTAAGTGTAAGTCCAACACCAAACTCCACCTACGTTCACTAAATCGACACCTATTAGGAGCGCATGTAACTTCTTTTGGTAGATTAATACACCTGTTAGCAACACAACTTATGATTGTTACCTACTACCAGGGATTCACAACCTATTACCTATTGTTTAGGTTGACATTGATACCTACTATTATCTGTTCACCCACCAGATGCAGTAAAGCTCCCCCCAAAAAATTCCCGGCAAATTTAAATGAACATTTTTAATTGGCCGAATTTTCAAAACCTGTAACACACGCAACGATTTGCTTCCAATTATAATTGCCGTATCTGAATTGACATCCTTAACGTCAAACCTGTCATTTCGTTTTGTATTTGCCTCAATTTGCGGTTAATTTCATTTATAAGAACAAAATAATCTTTCTGAACTTAATAAACAATTTGAAACTATGTACTGCTGTGTGTTGAAAGGTCAATATTCAAAACATAACACTTTATAACTTCGTCGTACAATGTGATATGCGATTTTAAATTTCCCGGTTTTTATAATTTTGTGACTGTGAAACGGGTCTGTTATTACATTGGTCAAAATTTATTGGGAGTGGCTTAACTGCATCTGTTGGGTGAACAGATTATAGGTGAAACAGACCAGCACTTTCGCGCCATTATTACACTCGAGTGAAATATATTTATTTTGGTGAAATGGTACTAAATAGGTGATCTTAATGGTGATATATTCAAGTCATTTCAACCTATTGGTCGAAATGTAAGTAACTGTATCCGCTTATTAGGTGTCTATGAAATTTTCATCTATTCCTATTTAGTCATTTTGTCAACTTTGGCCTATATCTCCTATTAGTTTATATTTATGACGTGAACAAAGTTACCTAATAAGTCATGCAACGAATCTATTACCAATTACGTAACAACCCTTTAGTTAGGTTACAAATTGGCACAAATAAGGTCCTTCTACCTACTGCTCCTATTAGGTGATACAAGTTAGGTATATGCCACTCCTTAATTGGTATTTTTTACGTACCTCACCTATTAGATGACCATTTACCACTACCATACTTTGTTGGATCCTAATAAGAATTTATTTCACCAATTTGTCACCAGTGCTTAATAGGTAACATATTTACTTTCACCTATTCAACATAAACATTACATAATTTCCACCTACTTTGGTCGAATTTCTTTTGCCTCAGGTTGCCGACACCTAAATTGCTAGCTGGGTAGGATTCCGGATTACGATAGGAGGGTGAACAGGGTCCACAAATTCGGGCCCTTTGTACTACCTCCCTGACTAGGGTCGCCCGACCCCTTAACGTCACTCAAACCATCCCACACGTGAGATGAACCTTTCCTGATTGAGATTACAATGTTTCAGTACAAGTATTCAGAATCTTTATTCGGTAGTTGCCAGTGTTCGGTCAGTAGCTTTTCTGAATTAAAAGTGTTACTTTAATGTGAGCCGCTCTGTGTTTAGGTATAGGTAGTTACAATTCAATTTTAGCAAATGATGTACTTTTATCGCACATGATTACATTTTTGAATGACAAGGAAGACAAGGAGCTGCGAGGATCTTTTTTTGACTGCATTGTTGGCGTATCCGCGTATATCGGATGGCATTGTTCGGTTATTCTTACACCACTATTGCTGCAGGTAAAGAACGCAGATGTCGAGCTTTTATGTGAACATTTTTCTAGGGTTTGACAGACTGTTCGGAATTTGTTACTACGAAAAGCATTCACGCAATGTCTGCTTTAACCGAATTGGGTTTAATAACGAAACCCGGTTTATGTGAACTAGTATCTGAATGTTCCTGTTTTCTAGTTCATCCTAGTTTGTGGGTACGTCAGGCCGTTGCCGGTTTTGCGGCAACTGCTGCGAAAACCTTGTCTGTGTTGGACGTCCAATGTAAAATAATGCCGCTTTTACAACCTTACATGAGATATCCACTAATCCAAATAGATCGGTAAACTATCGCGTCCAATCCTTATTGTACTATTGCAACTATTTCAGACCTGAACTTCTATTGGAATCACTTGTTAGTCCCATTCACAGAAATGTCTACGATAATGTGATTAAATATTCCGACATTGAGCTGTTATTAGACACTTTAAGAGAACGGCAGAATGCTAGATTAATTGCCAGCTCTGGAAGAATTCCGAGTTACACTGAAATGAGGCAGTCGTTAAAAACTGTATGTGTAAGTTCAACTCCAGAACATAGATGGCATGTTTTTGTTTTAGTTATTTAGGCGCTTGGAAGCAGATGGTATGTGCCCATCAGTCGAAGACTATTTACTTACAATGAGCAATCATTTAAAAAAAATTCACAAACACAAAACAAGCGCAGACGCTAAGCACAATAAACAAAGTGAAGGAAAAATTGAGATCACCACCCCCATACGTACTCACGTTTATCATTTAAGTGACGCGAGGAATAAGGCCGACTTGTTGCAAAACCGTAGAGCTCGTCGTCTTCCATCCACGTCTCCCATTGAAGCGAACCCCAATTTAGAGTGGAATGTGGTCGGAGCCGAAATACTGCCACGCGCTGCTGAATCTTCAGGCAGTCAGCCGTCCACGCCGCCTCCCGAAAGCCAAAGCGCATTCATCGGGGTGGAGCATGGTGTGAACATGAGTGTACACGAGAGATCTTACATACAATGTAAGTAGTAAGAGGTTTGCGTATTGATGAATTCGGTGTTACAGATAGGACAGCTAACTGTAGCGTTGATCTTGGAAAGTTACTGCATAGGCAACAGGATCATTATTTGGAGGCTTTACGGTAAGATTGTTTAGTAAAGGTTTTTTTTTCTTGTAGTTTTGGGCCCATTTAGTAAAAATTTAGTTTTAAGTAATGGTTATTGTGTTATCCCTCCTTCCCTGTCAATATTAACACAAGGTACTACATGCCAGGAAAATGTTTTAATAACATGGACACCGTTCACTGCTTTTTAGGCGCTTTATTAATTATTGTGACTAGGTGGTTTGATATTGCACTAGAACCGAAATCGATTATATTCCTTTACCCTATTCATTCGACGCTTTTATTGTGTAGGAGTAAGGAGTGGGCGGAACAAGCGGCATGGCGACCTCAACTGCCGCCGCCAGGTTGGCGATTGCGTGGATCTTTGGTCGCCCATCTACACGAGCATCGAGGTCCAATAACGAAATTGGCGCCCCTGCCCGAAACCCCGTTTTTCGCCAGTTCCTCTAAGGACGGATTCATTCGAATATGGGACTGTTCGAAAATGGAAGGGAAAAATATCGCAAATAGATCTAAACAAAGTTACAGGGTGCCTGGCGGTGTGAGCATTTCGGGGATGGCGGTGTGCGAAAACGGGCAGTCTCTGGCGGCAGCTGCCGATGATGGTTCAATTTTAGTTTTAAGGGTCGAACCGACCAGTAGCAGGTAAGTTTATAGTGTTCGCCGATTGGCATACACTAATAACGTCATTCAGGATGACACTTGTCCAAGCGAGACAGCTGAATGCAGACGAAGATGGGTGTGCCGTAGACGTGCAATATTTAGATGCGGGTCCCCAGAGTGTTTTGGTTTATGCCACTTTGTATGGCTCGTTAGTAGGCTGGGATTTGCGCGCGTCAGGAACATCCTGGAGATTAGAAAATGGTCTCAAGCAAGGCGTCATAACATCATTTTGTTTAGACTCTCATCAGAATTGGATTACAATCGGAACGAGCAGTGGTTATCACATAGCTTGGGATTTACGATTTCAACTGCCAATAGCAACAGTGGAACATCCTTCAGGTGTCAAACGTCTTGAAATTATCACAAAGTGATGCATTTACGATTTTAGCTGCACGAATCCGAAAGGTGATCAGTCATCCAACCGAACAATCGTGGATAATTTCAAGTGTTCAGGGAAATAATGAGATATCAATGTGGAATTTGGAAACGGGATTTAGACAGATTACTTTGTGGGGCAGCAACTCTCCGCCTTTCTCCAAGGCACATGTAAGATAAGCAATTTTTGTTAATCTATACCTTAACCATTCTATTAAAGGGAAATAACCAAAGTGTTTGCGCAATGCAGGCAGGTTGCATTGACCGCGCCGGCTTTCTTCTGGCAGGTGGTACCGATCAACGAATCCGGTTTTGGGACTTGGAAAGTCCCACCGAATCCTATTTGGCTATTCCCGCTCCTAACGATCCGCTAATTGGTAACGCCCTGACCTATGATAGGCGACTGATTGACGGTACGAGCGTAATATACGCAGTCGCGCAACCGAGTCAAATAAAGGCAGGGAAAGGTGACGAGATACCTCGAGGCGGACCGGAACCTCCTCCTCCCGGACATCGTGATTGTATAAGTGATATTTCTCTTTGCAAGGCATCGCAATGCTTTTTGCTTAGTGCTTCTCGAGATGGAGTAATCAAAGTTTGGAAGTAGATTTTATTTCAAATGTCAGAAGATTCGATCTTTAATTTATTCAAAGTCGTATGTTAGTAGGCAATTTTTGTACATTTAGTTTTGTACTGCAACCTGTACTGTGATTTTAATGAATAATAAGTTTAAACAAATTGGTTGGTTGTATTCATTTTTAACCGTTCCACATAAGAAATAAATTGCATTTTTGAGTCGTTATTAGAAAGTCCCATGGAATCTACTGAAGTTCCATAAAACATAATAGCATTGAATTTATAACTATCAGAAGCGCGGGTTAAATGGCAGGATATGTGACTGTTTTCAATAGTTTAAATTACAAGACGTAGATGTCTCTACCATCGAGAAAGATGAATAATGTAAGTTTTTTACCTTTGTTAATTATTATACAGGAATCTGTAATGAACCCACTATCTTGATTTGTAATTGTTGTATACAAAATTCTAGATACCCAAGAAACGTACTTATAAGTAGGGATGGGCGATAACTGTTTTCACCTATCGATAAGTATCGGGTACTTACCTATCGATATATTTTACTTATCGATATGCCGATAATTATCGAAATATCGATGGTTATCGATACCTATCGATAACTATCGAAATATCGATAACTATCGACATATCGATATATATCGATAGTTATCGATATGTCGATAGTTATCGATATATTGATAGTTATCGATATGTCGATAGTTATTGATATATCGATAGTTATCGATATTTCGATAGTTATCGATATTTCGTTAGTTATCGATATGTGAATACTATCGATAGGTATCGATATGTCGATAGTTATCGATATATCGATAGTTATCGCTAGGGATGGGCGATAACTGTTTTCATCTATCGATATAAGTATCGGGTACTTACCTATCGATATATTTTACTTATCGCTATGCCGATAATTATCGAAATATCGATGGTTATCGATACACCGATAACTATCGAAAGATCGATAATTGCCGCTATATCGATAAGTATCGGTATATCGATAGTTCTCGTTATGGCGATAGTTTTTAATATATAGGTACTTATCGATATAATATTACCGATCATTTTTTTGAAAGCGTGTCTAAAAACTGCATGAGTTTACTTTTATATTTTGGCGAAAGAGCCTGACAAGACAAGAGGGCTCTTTTAACAAGATATGAAAATGACCGAATGCAGTTCTTGCAACTTTAATGGAGTTACCATATTAACTATGCAATTATCGCAGGGCTCTTTTGCTTTCTACAATGCAATTACCGCTGTAATTAAGCGGTAATTGCACGTCTCATTTGAGAGAAATATTCGACGTATCGATAGTTATCGACAGGGATAGTTATCTTATCGAGTTTTATTAATAAAATCCATTTTCCGGTTTATTCTCGTGTAAAGTGACTATTAATAGTTACTCGACGTTTCTTTGCTACCTTTATCAAGAGTTTTTTGTTAGATTTCGTAAATGTCAATCAATTGAAACTGTATATTTAAATTTGAAGTGTTCTTAGCTTTTTCTGTTTTTTTGTGACTGGTCCTCTGTAATCAATCATACCGATACATAGGCCATGATACACCCTTTGATTGTCTCTTTATTTTATCATAGATGCAACATTTTGTTACGGAATTAGTATTAGATTACACAATTGACGATACTTTGACTAATGACCTTCACATACAATTGTCATGACATGTAAGCAAGCCGTCACTTACAATATACTTACTTAAGTAAATCCTGTGTCATCCTTATTTATAATTGTCGCCCTATAATTAACATGGTGTCAGAAGTGTCTTTGTCTTAAGTTGTAGTCGTTAAACGTCGTCATGCCAAATCAAGTAGTCGAAACTGCTACCGTCGCTGCTACCACTCCTAGAAACAAGGTAGCTGGATCTACATGTTCCATCCAACATCTTAACATCGCCAGCAAGAATCTGTCTTATGAATGGAAGAGGTGGTTCACCCAATTCAAGATATATTTGAGAGCGACAAGTCTTGAACGGGAAGAGAATGGTCGCAAGGTGGCTTTATTGTTGCACCACATGGGCCCCGAAGCATTAGAAATCTTCAATAGTTTCGATGTCAACATCGATAGTGTAACCTATGACAACTTAATCAGTAAATTCGAGAAACACTTCACTCCAAAAACAAACATTTCCATCGAGAGGCACAAATTTTTCACGAGACGTCAACTTGAGGGTGAGTCGTTAGAAGAGTTCGTTACAGCATTATCAAACTTAAGTCTAACGTGTGATTTTACGGAGCTGCGCGAAAGTCTAGTTAAAGACATCTTTACTTGTGGTCTTAACTCCGGATTCGCAGAAGTTAAACAGAAAATTATATCTGAAGGTGCAATCACACTCGACAAGGCTGTTGAATTGGCTAAGACGTACACATTGTCCAAAATCGAAGCCGCTAGCTGTAGTGTCGTAGGAGCAGTTCATTACAACACAAGTCACAATGAAATGGGTCAGCGCAGGTGGAAAAATCGTGCACACCAAAGGTCAACGAGTCCATCCACTAGACGAACGACACCATCCATTAGACGAACAACGTCTCCCAGTCCGGTAAGCCGAGATCGAAAGAATATCTGTCAAAGGTGTGGCCAGCATCATCGATTCAGGTGCCCAGCAGATGGGGTAAAGTGTAGCTATTGTTTTAAAATTGGTCATTATGCTAAAATGTGTCTTAGAAATAAGAATGTCAAGTCGCTAACTGTAGATACAGGTGATGAATTATTTATAGGGTCAATTTCGTATGTGTGTTCTGTTAAAAAGTCGCAATGGGAAGTACCTGTGTCTATTAATGGTACTATTCTATTATGTCAATTAGACACAGGGGCAGAAACAAACGTCATGAGTTTGACAGACTTTAGTCGCCTTAATTTAAAAAAAGGCTTAATTAATGTAAGTCATAATAGCGTTAGAACCGTAAGTGGAGAAAGGCTTGAATTAGCAGGCGAAGTCGATTTAACTTGTCATATTCAGAGTAGTGATCACATAATTAAATTTCATGTCATAAAAGTCGGATGTAAACCTATTCTTGGATTACAAACATGTATCGATCTCAAACTTCTTAAAAGAGTGAACCAAGTAACTTTTAACAAATATGAAGTCCAGTCCACTCAGTCTATAATTACTCAGTATAATGAAGTCTTCAAAGGTCTAGGTCTAATAAAAAGTCAGTGTCGTCTACAAATAAACAAGAATGTGACACCTATAAGGGAACCGTTGCGTAAAATACCATTTAAACTATACGAGTCTCTGAAAACGGAATTAATCAGAATGCAAGAATTAGATGTCATCAGTCCCGTTTCGGAACCAACCCAATGGGTTAACAGTATCGTCCTCACATCTAAGAAAAATGGCAGCATTCGTGTGTGCCTAGATCCGCGCAACTTAAACAAAGCAATCCTTCGTGCGCACTATCCCTTCCCAAGCATCGATGTCATTAGATCTCAGTTAAACGGATCTAATTATTTCTCAACCCTAGACGCTAATTGGGGGTTCTGGACCATTGCTTTGGATGAGGAGTCTTCAAAATTATGTACGTTCATCACACCATTCGGTAGATTTCGTTTTAAACGTCTTCCATTTGGAATTTCAGCAGCGCCAGAGATTTTTCACTCTACAATGACTGAATTGTTCGCCGACATCCCTAACACAGTAGTCTACTTTGATGATCTGCTAATTCACGCACCAACTAAAGAAAAACATCATGAGATATTGGAGCAGGTGCTTAAGCGCGCTAAGGAAATAAATTTAAAATTTAATTTAAATAAGTCTCAGTTTTGTCTTAATAAAGTCACGTACATGGGTCATGTGTTCTCAAAGGAAGGCATGACACCAGATCCGAATAAAATTAAAGCTATTGTAGACATGAGTCAACCAAAAAATTCACAAGAACTACAAAGATTCTTGGGAATGCTTACATATTTGTCAGCATACATCAAAAATTTTTCTGAAGAAACACAGCAGTTGAGAATTCTTCTAAAAAAGAATGTAATATGGAATTGGGACACAAATCATACAGCTACATTTAACAAATTAAAAACCTTAATTACAAAAGCCCCAGTTCTAACTTACTTTGACCAGACTAAAGAATTAATTTTGTCATGTGACGCTTCACAAAGTGCAGTAGGAGCCGTTATACTACATGGATCAAATCCAATTGCCTACTCGTCAGCCTGTCTTACCGAAGCTCAAACTAATTATGCTCAAATTGAAAAGGAGCTGCTAGCGATTGTTCACGGTTGTCTAAAGTTCCACCAATTTATCTTTGGTCACAAAATCACGGTCCATACGGATCATAAACCATTAGTGCCTTTATTCATAAAAGCATTACACAAAGTGCCACAAAGACTACAAAGGTTTATGCTCAAAATTCAGTGCTATGATCTCAATGTCATGTACAAACCTGGTAAAGAAATGTATATTTCGGACACATTATCCAGATCGCCTTTGTCAGACTCCATTGTAGATTTACAAGAAGATATCACGTTACACATAAATATGCTCAAGTCATGTTTAGAAGTGTCACCTGAAACATTAGAGTCCTTTCGAAAGGAAACTCAAAATGATAAGGAATTGCAAACCATCGTAAAACTTTGTCAAACAGGTTGGCCCCTAGCCAAGAGTAATCTTCCCCCAGAGACTAAACCATATTACAAATTTCAAAAGGAAATTAATGTACTTGATGGGCTAGTGTTCAAAGGAAATAACTTAGTGGTTCCAAAAGCTCTTAGGTCAAAAATGCTAACTAAAATTCATACGGGTCATTTTGGTGTACGTAAATGCCTTGATTATGCTAAGAATGCATTATTCTGGCCTAATATGTCAAATGACGTGCGAAATATTGTAACGACATGTGTAGCGTGTCAGGAATACAGTAATAACAACTCAAAGGAACCTTTATTGCCACACGGAATACAGTAATAACAACTCAAAGGAACCTTTATTGCCACACGAAATTAAAGCAATACCATGGAACAAAGTAGGTGTTGACTTCATGGAATTAAAGGGAAATAAATATCTTATTTGTATAGATTATTTCTCTAAATTTATTGAATTATCAGTACTTAGGAATGGCACAAACGCAAAAATAGTCATCAATGAGCTGAAATCCATATTTAGTCGACAAGGAATACCTGTCACACTAA